GGATCTGTAACAATTAAACAATTCAACATGGTGCATAATATACGAGAAATTTACTAGACTTTCAATTCTCATAGTCGCCATATTTGTTCGATTGTTTGACGGTCACATACTACAGTAAATTGTTTGTAAGTGTCACAGCCTGGCGTAGACTGCACGACACTTGCAAACAATTCAATATATTCAATATATCATTTCATGATATGCACAACAAGTTACGAACTGAATTAATATTGAATTTTACGAGACTTACAATTGTCGTAGCCGCCATATTTGTTTTCACATGTTCGATTGTTTAGAGCTCATATACTACAGTGGATCTGTAACAATTAAACAATTCAACATGGTGCATAATGTACGAGAAATTTACTAGACTTTCAATTCTCATAGTCGCCATATTTGTTCGATTGTTTGACGGTCACATACTACAGTGAATTGTTTGTAAGTATCACAGCCTGGTGTAGACTGCACGACACTTGCAAACAATTCAATATATTCAATATATCATTCCATGATATGCACAACAAGTTACGAACTGAATTAATATTGAATTTTACGAGACTTACAATTGTCGTAGCCGCCATATTTGTTTTCACATGTTCGATTGTTTAGAGCTCATATACTACAGTGGATCTGTAACAATTAAACAATTCAACATGGTGCATAATATACGAGAAATTTACTAGACTTTCAATTCTCATAGTCGCCATATTTGTTCGATTGTTTGACGGTCACATACTACAGTAAATTGTTTGTAAGTGTCACAGCCTGGTGTAGACTGCACGACACTTACAAACAATTCGATATATTCAATATATTGTTGCATGATATGCACAATAAGTTACGAACTGAATTAATATTGAATTTTACGAGACTTACAATTGTCGTAGCCGCCATATTTGTTTTCACATGTTCGATTGTTTAGAGCTCATATACTACAGTGGATCTGTAACAATTAAACAATTCAACATGGTGCATAATGTACGAGAAATTTACTAGACTTTCAATTCTCATAGTCGCCATATTTGTTCGATTGTTTGACGGTCACATACTACAGTGAATTGTTTGTAAGTATCACAGCCTGGTGTAGACTGCACGACACTTGCAAACAATTCAATATATTCAATATATCATTCCATGATATGCACAACAAGTTACGAACTGAATTAATATTGAATTTTACGAGACTTACAATTGTCGTAGCCGCCATATTTGTTTTCACATGTTCGATTGTTTAGAGCTCATATACTACAGTGGATCTGTAACAATTAAACAATTCAACATGGTGCATAATATACGAGAAATTTACTAGACTTTCAATTCTCATAGTCGCCATATTTGTTCGATTGTTTGACGGTCACATACTACAGTAAATTGTTTGTAAGTATCACAGCCTGGTGTAGACTGCACGACACTTGCAAACAATTCAATATATTCAATATATCATTCCATGATATGCACAACAAGTTACGAACTGAATTAATATTGAATTTTACGAGACTTACAATTGTCGTAGCCGCCATATTTGTTTTCACATGTTCGATTGTTTAGAGCTCATATACTACAGTGGATCTGTAACAATTAAACAATTCAACATGGTGCATAATATACGAGAAATTTACTAGACTTTCAATTCTCATAGTCGCCATATTTGTTCGATTGTTTGACGGTCACATACTACAGTAAATTGTTTGTAAGTGTCACAGCCTGGTGTAGACTGCACGACACTTACAAACAATTCGATATATTCAATATATTGTTGCATGATATGCACAATAAGTTACGAACTGAATTAATATTGAATTTTACGAGACTTACAATTGTCGTAGCCGCCATATTTGTTTTCACATGTTCGATTGTTTAGAGCTCATATACTACAGTGAATCTGTAACAATTAAACAATTCAACATAGTGCATAATATACGAGAAATTTATTAGACTTTCGATTCTCATAGTCGCCATATTTGTTCGATTGTTTGACGGTCACATACTACAGTGAATTGTTTGTAAGTGTCACAGCCTGGTGTAGACTGCACGACACTTACAAACAATTCGATATATTCAATATATTGTTGCATGATATGCACAATAAGTTACGAACTGAATTAATATTGAATTTTACGAGACTTACAATTGTCGTAGCCGCCATATTTGTTTTCACATGTTCGCTTGTTTAGAGCTCATATACTACAGTGGATCTGTAACAATTAAACAATTCAACATGGTGCATAATGTACGAGAAATTTACTAGACTTTCAATTCTCATAGTCGCCATATTTGTTCGATTGTTTGACGGTCACATACTACAGTAAATTGTTTGTAAGTGTCACAGCCTGGCGTAGACTGCACGACACTTGCAAACAATTCGATATATTCAATATATCATTCCATGATATGCACAACAAGTTACGAACTGAATTAATATTGAATTTTACGAGACTTACAATTGTCGTAGCCGCCATATTTGTTTTCACATGTTCGATTGTTTAGAGCTCATATACTACAGTGAATCTGTAACAATTAAACAATTCAACATAGTGCATAATATACGAGAAATTTACTAGACTTTCAATTCTCATAGTCGCCATATTTGTTCGATTGTTTGACGGTCATATACAGCCTGGACTCCATGACACTTACAAACAATTCTATTTATCGTATAATTAACGTAACAAATAATTCACATTTTTTGAAAATTTAATTATTTATGCAACGTGACCCACGTCTGGGTCATTGTATGATGCTGTAACCAGCCTACGTGACCCACCGTTGGGTCACTGCCAGATACCCCTTTCCAACAAAGTGACTCACATGTGGTTCACCTCAACAAAAAAGCTAACCCATAGCTGACCCGTGTTGCAAGCTATTTTCTGGGAAACTAATAAATAAATATAAATAAATTTTATGCTCTAATTAGCTATATTTCATAACTTAGAAAATAGATGCAACAACGACTCCATGCACATTCCAACGTCCGAATAGTTTCGTTAGTCGTTATATTTAATACTGAAATTAAAAAGGAAATTAATTGGGGAACAAAAAATCGAAAATATATTGCCTACGTTAAATTCCACGCATTCCATCGACGTAATATTTCACCTGATAATATTACGTAAATTTTTGCGTTAATTTTTAATTGGGCATCCTTTCTAAATTTCTGAGTGCCCCGCCGCTATGGTCAAACGATTGCACCGGCTCCTCTGCGAGACTCCGGATGCAGAGACGAGCACTTTGAGGACGTAAATTAATTGTTCGCGACACTAGGTTAGGTGCAACTGCGTTTCGTTGAACCCTTTGGCCGCGACGTGCTTGAAGCTAAAAGCAACGTGCTTGAAGCTGAAAGAGACAGTTACCGCCGTTGAGTTACGGAACGTTCTTCCACTTGGAAGTAGGCGTTCTAACGCAAGACACGTTTACGACGAACATAACGTGCCATATTTCTTTCTTTTTTTCATAAAGATAATTGAAGTAGTCCCTTACGGTCGTCAGAAATGTTTACGAAGAACATAGTAGATTTAACAGCGTTGTATTTTCACTGCGATGAGTGCTTTTCGATTTATTTAATTGGCTCTAATACAGTCCTCTAACATTTATAGTTTTCTTTTTGATAGGATTTATGTTACCATAATAAAACTTTCATTTTCTAACTACGTATTCTTATTATACTGATCGTATCAGGATACTCTCACGGTTGTACATGATGAGATCCTAACGAACATTAACACCTTTCCAATCGCAATTAGCATCTGAGATAGTATCGCGCGAAGAATTGCATTCTGCGGCATGTAATACGCATTAGCGCGCCTTGTATTTGATTAAAAGATACAGATGATACACGGCACGGTGTAATGCAAACAATTGAAAACCAGTGAAAACGTAAAATCATCAAACCGAACAATGTGATCGTTCGCAGATTTAATATTAGATTTTTCATTTGCGTCATAAAGCTTGTAAAGGTTGCGACAGTACGAAGACGAGGTGAACGAGCATGGCTAGAAGAAAGTTGATTATTTCTTCGTACCAAACTGGAAATTATGAATAATTGAAGACATAACAGGAATATCACATACCACAGTGATTGATAATTAGAAATTAAAATCATGAACCTGTTGTGGAGAGCCTAAATAGAATATTTACATTCGTGACAACCATTTATAACGTGCATCTTTTATAAAATTCAACGTATAAGGCTGTTTCGCAACGAAAGATATTTGACTTCGACATTTCATGTTTCCAACTTTCTTCGAAGGAATAGATCATCGATCGTTTTATTAATAAGACCTCGAAGAAAAACGCGATCGTCGACGATCGATGTGCCAACGAACGATGAGTCACGAACGTTCGATCGGATCGATCGAGAAATCGTGTTACTATGCCTCACGGTCGGCGGGAACGCGTTCCTGAATCGAAAGAAGAGAATCTAAGCGTGCCGTCGCGCAACTTGATATTAAGTTGCGACCGTAGAGTCGTTTGGCCTTCTCAATGGAGTTACGTATAATTTCCTGCTCGCGCGAAGAATGGCCGCCATTTGAGTACTCGATGGCGCCAACAATAGGACGCGGAAAGGGGATGCTCGATTTGCCGCCAAACGTTTCTTAATTAGCGTTTGTTAGTAGTTAACGATCATTATCCGACGAGAAACTGATTTTAACGACTCGAGTTATAATAATCGATTTGCACGGATTTTCTGTTTCGAAGAAAAATGGCGCCAACTTCGAGCGCAAACTTATTATTAATCGATCGATATTCTGATCACACACTCTGTTACTGAAAGTAGAGAAATAGTAACCTAACGATTTTAAAAGTTATTTAAGAACGTGTAAAGATAATTTTTTCCATCTGAAACTACTCCTTACATTCCTCTCCATTTAAATATCCGTCGAATATAATTGTAACCGTGGACTACGAAACAATAGATCCACATCCTGTTCAGCTTTCACGACCAATAAAGACGCATTTACTTTCGTAAGCACGTCACTTAAAGTTAGTCTTTGTGGTCGTAGGATCGTATGGCCAGAAGCAACAACAGGAGGATCCTTGCCAAACGAAATCGAGGGTGGTGGGCGACATCGAGTATTGCGATCGCTATTGGGAGTGCGTGAACGGGCGTCCAGAGCTGTTCGATTGTCCAAACGGTCTCGTTTTCGCTGGCAAACATCGCGGTGTGACCGAGGGTTGCGATTATCCGTGGAGAGCGAACTATTGCGATGGCAAACGCCAAGCTAATCCACCGATACCAGCCGACCACTGCGACTGGCTGTACGGTATTTTTGGCCACGAGACGTCTTGCACCAGGTACTGGACCTGCTGGAACGGCACGGCCACCGAGCAACTTTGCATAGGTGGTCTTTTGTACAACGAGAGGGCCAGGTCCTGCGATTGGCCAGAGAACGTCGAAGGGTGCCAGAAGCATCGTGAGTAAACGCTGACTTAAAACGCATGCTTGCTTTATTTAACAAAACTTCTTGGTGCATCCAATATTCGCTACTAATTATTTTTATATGCAAATCATCTTTAACCATTTGTTCACGGCAGCAGATAAGAGATTCTGGCTCTGGTAATACCTAATCATTTGATCATAGTGTCATTTAAAGTGACAGTCATTCTATATTTAAAAAAATGTGCTCAGCTTCCTAATTTGATACAAAAATTATATAAGAAAGTAATTGTATAATAATGACTCCGTTTCAAAATATCTACTTTTGATAGGACATTGTCACTAGAAGTTTAAATTCTATTTCAGGTCGTGTAGACTCAAAAATCGAACTCTTTATTAATATTTCGTGGCATATTTTTACATGTGATAGATTTTGTAATATTTTTGCTTCATGTTTATTCGTGTATCTCCGCCTTTCGTTTCGCAAAGGAAAGCACGGTTGCCCCGAAGCTGAATTTCGAGATCATTCTCACTTTCGAAAGCGATCGTGTACGAGAACGCACACCGTCGGCGATGTTTCTCCTTTTTTTATCTCTCCTTCGAGACTCGGCTTCGAAGTCAGTGCCCTCCTCGAAGAAAAAGAGGCGGGCCGTTAATTAACATTCAAAGTGAGGCCTCGTCACGCCTTTGTGTCTGCCCCACGCGTCGCCGACAGTAACCGAGGCGCTTGACAACTTGACGAATAAAAACTTTCGTTGATCGTGACAGCCTGCGAAACGATCGACTACGCGTAAAACAAAGGACGCGAGCGTGTACGCGTTTCGGTTACGAACAAAAGAGTAATAAAATTCGTCACGGTTAAATCTCTGTGAAAATCTCCAATGGCTTCTTTTTGCATTACAACGGACTCTTTTAATGGAAATTTCAGATGCTTTTTCTTATTACAACAGAGACCAGATGCTTGATATTTTAGCCAATTTTTTAAAGGATATTTTTTTAGTGCTCTATTCTATTTCAAAATAATTGTTGTTTAACAATTTAAATATAATTGCACAAGAAAGAGACCTGTCCTAGTTTTCAGATTGAATAATCTTTCTATATTACAACAGAGACTGGATGCTTCATGTTTTAGTCAATTCGTTGGAGGATATTTTTTTAATACTCTATTCTATTTCAAAATAATTGTTATTTAATAATTTCAAACTTTCATAAGAAAGATGATCTTTTTATATTACAACAGAGACTGGATGCTTCATATTTTAGTCAATTTTTTTAGTACTCTATTCCATTTCAAAATAATTGTTGTTTAACAATTTAAATATAATTGCACAAGAAAGAGACCTGTCCTAGTTTTCAGATTGAATAATCTTTCTATATTACAACAGAGACTAGATGCTCCATGTTTTAGTCAATCCTTTGGAGGATATTTATGTAATACTCTGCTCCATTTAAAAATAATTTAATATTGCACAAGAAAGAGGCTTGTTCTTAGATAGAATATTGTTTAACGTTAGTTTGATATTGAATGTACAGTCGTATTGGTATTTGAGTCGACGGCCATTTTACTTTTGGGGCTAAATAGTGATTTCTTAGTTCGTCCATTGTACGTGGCGGGTCTAACTCCACACAGCTTGCTAATTGCGATCGCATAACACGGGTGTTTTACAACGAGAACTATGTTATTACGGCGTGATTGAAACCCCGACAGCTCTCTGCAACGACGACGCGAACGGAAACGTCCCGCTGGGGAAGTCCTGCAACCGCTATTGGCAATGTCAAGGCGGCTATCCGCGGCTACAAAGGTGTCCAGCGATGTTGGTCTTCGACCGAAGGTCGCTGAGGTGCGTGGTCCCGCCCACGGAGGATTGCGACGTGCCAACGACGCCACCCAATCTCGAGGGTGACCTTCACGAAGGTCGAAACGAACAGGACCCCGAGGAGGAGAACCTGCCGCCAGGGGTTCCCCCGTTGCCGTCCGGCGCGTTGCCTATACCGATCCGTGCGCGTCCCAGAAACTAAATCGCGGTCGTTAGACGCGAAATGATCAGCGACGAGCGTGAATGAAAAATTCTATCCACGTTTCGGGATACACGGGAACGGAAGCGACCTGGGTCGCGATCGTGGCCAGGAACAAAACGAATCCGTCGACGACAGTCGAACGAACGCACTCCCCGAACGAGTCACGCGCGAGCGTACGCGTAGTTGTTAAATTTAAGTTTCGCGCCGCCGTCCATGAGTCGTCGGCCATCTTGCTCCGCCATCTTGGAGAACGCGAATCGAGGTACAATTACGATTTTCCGATGCGACTTTATCGTCTAATAAATGTTATAACGTGTAAAATCGAAACAAATAATTAAAGATGAACGCGTCTAAAATCAAAATGGCGTCGTAAATTTATGAAAAAAATACTAGAAGAAACGATTGAAATCTATCTATTTTATATTGTAACGAATAAATAAGTGTTTTATTTTATAATTCACATTCCTTCGCAATTTTTTTTCTTTTATTTCGCGTAATGTCCGGTGACTTATGGACGAGAGTGTATATTCACAGCTTCGTTATAGGATACAAGTAGTCAGTTGCTTCCCGGATAGGAAGAAATAATTTTCTTCTTTTTTGTTCTACTTTTTTTTGGAGTGGTCGGCATTTTCTGTCGACCGTCCCTCGTTGCACGTATTTTCGGTTAAGAGGATATAAATCGTAGGAAACGCTATCGCGAGGATCGACTCCCCAGAAACACTCACCATCCGTTCTGTATCATAATTATAGCCGAAGTGTAAATATTCTTTAATCCATTCTCACGTTACCTTCGCCTTTACTCGGAACGTTTACACTTGTACGATGCAGATTCGTTGAAATAAAGTGTACGTTGTATATTTTTTTTTTCTACTCATGTCCACATTTTATTCGAATGTTCGTTGTACATAGTTTCACGCGTTAAATATTTATTTTTCGGTGTTTTTCTTTTAACATAGGATACCGCTAGATTGTACGATTCACACAGAAGCAAGAATAAAGTAATTTGTAACGATCACGGAAATTTATCGAACCAAGGATTAAGTCGGTTGGATAAAGTAACTTGAACATTTCCTGCTTCGACGTGAAAATTTATGGTTCTATTTTAATTTCGATATTTTTTTTTTGTACCGACAAAACGTGTACGTTTGCAACGATTTGTGCAATCCTATTTTACAGGTTTTCAAAGGGGCAGTTACGTTACCAAAGACTGTCAGGATTCGATTATAGGATTTTGCGACTATAATTCAGAGTCACCGATTTTCCTACATTATTTATAGATTATTGGCGCTGAAAAAGAAATTATTTTTATGTATTTGCTGTACGAAAAGAAGTAAATTAATGAAATTTTGTAACGTACCAGTGAGGCAGCTCGTCAGGATCCAAACAGGCCAAGCTCACGGAATCGAAGAGTTTTCCGTCTCCGCAGGTAATTAGACGCGGATTTCCCTCCACACAGGTAATCAATCTACCACAATCGCCTGGTACAGGGAATCTAGGGACAATAAGGTTCCTCGATGATCAAACTATTTTTTAAAAAATACACAGGGAATTTCATTAAAATTCGCTTAGAGTCGATCAGAAAAAATTGAAAGCTAAAAAATGGGGAAGAATTGATTATAAATACAAGAGAAAGCTAACAAAATTATATAAAAGATAAAAGAAACTTCTCTAAATATTTTACATTCTAAATCATATTCTAAGAGCTGTTCATCGTTGACTATAAAAATAATATCTCGTCTGATTCTTAACCCGGAAGTAATACAAACGAAAAAAGAAAGAAAGCTTCCTCGACTTTCACGCGAACTTCCTTTTTACATAGAATACATATTTTTCAAAAAAGAATCAATTTCTGGTTATCGCTAAGCAAATTGTTTTTCACCCAGTATTACTAGCTTGCAACATTTTCAATTAAAAATAAATTTTCTTGATACTGACGTTTATGAACATAGATATCATAAAAAGAAACTTGTTTTTACTAGCCTAGCGTTCGCAAATATATTCATATCATCTTATATTTATAGTCTAAGGATTCCGGTTTACTATTGACTATAAAATGCTCAAGGAGTTGTACTTCGTACATTTACTGATAATTCATGTTTCAATTTCTTTTCAATTTGTGTGTAATTGTCTTTATTTTATGCAGTTGGTTACACAAAATACGCCCTACAGTAGTAACTATATTACGTAAAAATTTTATTGGAATTATTTACGTATATAGTTACAGACACCATTTAAGATTTAAAGTTTAAACAGAAATGAAGTAATGGAAATTTTTCGTAGCCATTTGCATATTTATTGGCGAATTTATTTGCTTTATTCAAAAAGAAAAAATATTTTAAATATACTCACTGTCTAGGGACTTTTATCGTGTATGAATGAATTCGTCGAGCAATTACCAGCTCCGGAAATGTTAAATAAAGAATTATTTATTCGGAGTACGTACCTTGGGAAGGGCCAGAATTTAGCAGCCGCGCTGTGAGCAGGTACTTTGTGAGGGCATTTGAAGCCGACAATTTGCTCCGGGTTGCAGTAGGGCAATAGTTGATCTGGCCAGACGCACGTGTGGCTCTTCTCTTCGTACACTAATCCGGGGTCGCAATGCGCTTCCTCGGGATGTCCAAGAACACACCTGATGTACGTAGTACTGCACGCGTCGCTTGCAGGATACAAGCCAAATTGGAAGTCGCATCCGGGACTGCTGATTGGAGTGACTGAAAATTACGTTCCATAACAGTATCACATAATAAATAAAAAAGAAAATAATGATAATATGGTACACAAAGAGACAAGTTTGCATTGTTAATACAAAGGAAGAACAACTAACAGTATCACATAATAAATTTAAAAAAAAAATAATGATAATATCGTGCACAAAAAGACAAGTTTGCATTTTGAATACAAAGGAAGAACAACTAACAGTATCACATAATAAATAAAAAAAAGAATGATAATAATATCGTACACAAAAAGAGAAGATTGTATTATTAATACATACAAATAATCGCTATGAAGATATAGAAAATTAGGAGAAAGAATTTATTCGAGTATTATAAAAGTGATTTCTTCGTTTCGTGCATTTTTTTTATAGTTAATTTTATGGATTATATTAAAGTAAGTTATCAGAAAAATGACAAATTGAACGATGTGGTAATTAGATTGGGATTGATGTCAAAGGTAAATTGCGAAAGTGGATGTTGCAATGGGAATCGAATATAATTTGTTCGGTGCCAAGTCTTTGTGATGAATGGCCTGAACGTGACGCGTTCGAGCCCGGTTACCAAAATCCTTCAGTCATGCAACTTTTACTTTCTAGGACAGATGCTACGCACAGCCGTCAGTTTCTTTCCATCGAAATCGTGCGATGGATGTTTCTTATGCTAAGAACACACGCATGATGCAACCGGGGAATATTACTTTTGCTCCAAGTACGAAGTAACCGGTCGGAAAACATTAAATTCTCATTTTCTCAACGCGTCCATTCGATAATAACATTAGTATTTACTTTTGGAATTCTCGTTCTCAATAATATTTAGCTTGAAAAAGTAACTTTACTTAATACACGCCAAATTGATAGACACTATTATTACAAATAAATTACTCATAATTAAACATACAGGTTCGAGTATTCAAATGAAAATGAATTGAAATAAATATTAAAATGTACAATTTTAATGATCTAAATTTTAAATAAATATTAACTGTAAAATTTTAATGATCTAAATTTTAAATAAATATTAACTGTACAATTTTAATGATCTAAATGTTAAATAAATATTAAATCTACAATTTTCATGAGACATGTTTTTAAAAAATTCTGTACTTTCTAGTGAAATTAAATTATCAAGGATGAGTATCCAATTCCTCGAGTCTGCTGATCATTTGTAATTATACACGTGTAATTTTTAATTGCCTGTCGCTTAATTATACAGCGCTAATGAATTCATGCAGCGTGGAAAGGCAAGCGTTAGCGCGTGCCTCGTACTGTCCTTCGCTCACTTGAAGTCCCGCGAGACGGCGCAGGGGCAAGGGGAGTCGGACCGCCCATTTATCTGTCTTGCTCACTTGCTCTCAGGCAGTCCACATGTGTGTGTAACTGCTGCGACGAATAGCGAGCTAGAGACCAATGTGTGCGTGGGAATACGTGTGCCCCTTCTACTTCTCCCACATTCCTTCCGCGGGACTTCAAGTGAGCGGAGGACAGTACGCTTAGGTTTGTTATGACATTGCCGTAATTATCGAGACCGTAACGCGATACTTACGGTCAGCCTTGCGATCTCCGCAGTGCACTGCCCAGAGATAGTTGCAATGATTGTGCACAGATCCATGGCCGTCGAAAAGTAGTCCGTTCTCGCAAGTTTCGAGGGTCAGGGTGCCGTTCGTGCAAAGAAAGAAGGCGTTGCACGACTCGGGATGGGGGTACGCGTGGACGCCATATGGGTCAGGGCACGGTGGTGCACCCAAAAGTGCAGCTGCCTCCGCTGCAAAAACAGAAATTAACAAATAAACGACTACTTTTGATCACCAACAACGATACATTCACAATGGAGGTCCCATACTTACAAAAACATTAGTCTCTCTCGATGGCATCAAAAGGGTACAAATACATTTCCATTGTTATTTTTCAGTGGTATATATTTATATTTAAAGGGTACAAAATTTACCTAAACACAATTTTTCACCACTATTTTTCCATTTAATTGTTAGTTATTTATTCACTAGACTTACAAAAACATTGAATTTTCTCGGTGGTATCAAAAGAGTACAAATACATTTCCATTCTGATTTTAAATGTATACTTATATTTGAAGGGTACAGAATTTACCTCAACACAATTTTTCACCACTGTTTTTCCATCTAATTGTTATTTATTTATTCACTATATGAGTAATCCATTAGTGTACAAGAGAAAATATAATATTTTTGCAGTTGAGATAGAGAACAGTGCTTGTAAATAAACTATATATAGTATGTATATGTAGAAATAAGCATAGAACAAAATGAAATTGATATTGAGACTTATAATTTAATTATAGATTGTATACCTGATTTTTGATTGTGGAAATTTGAATGTCAACAAATTAATGCGTAAATTCTTCTGAAATATTAATGTATTTACATATTTATCAGTGTACGAATCGTACAACGTTGTTTGTGTGAATTTAATTTGATGAGTAGAATGAGATAAATATAAATATATTTGTAATGTAAATGACATAAATATAAATATATTTATAATGTAAATGGCATAAATATAAATATATTTATAATGTAAATGACATAAATATAAATATAAATATACTTATGTCATTCTACCCATCAAATTAAACGCAAACAAACAACGTTGTACGATTCTTATTGACTTATTGACTTGCCAGGAATATTTTCCACAATTTTTCGAACACTAATATGTTTCATGGCTTCGTAATTGTTGAAAAACATTACTTAACGTAACATCCAAAGGAAAAGTATGTTGAACGCAAGGAAAAAGGAAGCAAAACGACTGCGGAAACGAGTCAAGGCTATTGACGCCGCAGTTGGAGTAAACAGACGATCGAGCGGAAGCGACGGCGTGATTTAGATCCGCACGATCGACCACAGGCGCGATAGACAATAACAAAATAATTCACGGACCGTAAGATATTCGTACATCGTGGATTCGAAAGTCGTTGCTTCTTTGCAAAGTGAAATATTCGGGAAAGTACGATTATAAGAAGACCTTTGATGCCGGTGCAACCAGTCACAATAGAAAGGACACAGAGCGAGGATGAAAGGATCCTAGCAACCGGTAGAAGGAGAAACTTGCACGCTCCGTCATCGACTCCAACGCGTTGACATTTCTCTGCGAGGCCAAAATTTTATGTTGAAGCAATTGCAAACTGCATAACACAGTCTCGTCGAACTTTGTTTGAAATTTTCAGATTTATTTTCTTACACGAGAAACATTTTATTCTCATCGAAGCGAGAATTTTTAATTGAAAGTCGAGAATTACGTTGAAATATTTTGCCTGGAATTTCCAAGCGGTGCAACATAGTCGAGAGATCAACGAGCCCCAAGAAAACAAAGTATCCACGTTATCCAATGGACAACAGACGAGAAGAGTAACGTCACCTGGGACCATAAATTGCCCCGTATGCTGGTGCCTAATTTAGTCCCAGGAACCTTGGACGCGAGGAATAAAAATGAAAAAACGAAGCAACGTAATAAGGAAAGACGACACGTATCGTGCCCGAGGGGGGAAACGGAGACGAACGGAGCTATCCTCGAGGCGCGAGTGCATGAATAATGCACCGCGGTTAGATGGCGAGCGTCGATATGCCCGATGCATTACTGAATAATAGTCGAGGAAGGCGTAAAACGCTAGACAAACTCTCCGCCATTATATCATAGGTCGCGGCGACGTAACCATATGGCGAGAGCCGTCCCTCGGCGGGACCAGTGAAAGCTATTGAAATTCTGCTACGTGGGTGTCGCAATAGAGGGAACAGGGACCACTGGGATGCCGGAGAGCACGCCTGACGGGATGCAGCCCGGGGAACGGCGATGCGCCCACGAGATGCATCGCCGTGGGGGGTTTTTGCATCGTTCGCGAAACGTAGCGCATCACGCGTTAGTTTGTCACGCGGGAAACGCGATCGGCGAAAGTGGAGGGTGTCGAGTTGGTGCTGATTGGCGGCAAAAAACTTACCGGAGGCCAGAAAAGCCGCCAGGGCCAATAGGGTCACGCTCCTCGGATGTCTCATAGTACACGGCTCGGTCTGATCCGCCACGGGTCGACTCTGACTACTGACACTCAGTTATCGACCTCGGGACAGAGAGCTTCTCCCTTCACTTGCTCGATCGCTCGATCTCCCGTTACCCCACCCGATCGTTTTACGTGCGATTTCTTGCACGCGATCGTGCGTCCTCGGTTTCACGAATACACCCGAACGGATTCGTCGTTGACCGTATTTTATTTTAGCGCGTTGGCCCACCTGGAAGCTGGGAGGGGGCGGCCATCTTCGATTTTCGGGGAAAGATCGACTCGAGGAGTAGACCTTGTAATCTAAATCGAGAAGACCGATTATATCAAAAACACTAGGTTCTTTTATAGGTAATGCAACTTTTCGAAGTTATAAAAGTGCATAAGTTGCATGAACCACCCTGTATAGTCTCCATTCGCGTCGAAGTACATTTCTCTGCTGAGAAGGGTGCAACGTGAGTTCCTCGAGGTAGCAGCCAATCAAATTCCCGTGAAATAAAATGTTACAAAAAGAAAGACTTTCAAAAGATGTTTTTCACTTCAATAGATTGCAAAGTGAAATTTAGCATTTTGATGGTATTCTTTAGAGTATGTCAATAATGGTCGACCTTCTTCGAATGTTCTGCACCATTGCATAACTTTGCCTTTGTCCATGGTAGACCATAAACTTCGTACAATTTACGATGGATTCCAATCGTTTGCACGGAGAAATCTTATAACCGAATGAACTTTGTAACCGGCGGGATCGTTCATCGACACGTTCATTTCAAATCGGTTCCCACTCGTTATAGTACACAATCGGATAGTAACGTGATTACTCATTGTATTAGAAACGTGATCGATGTCTGAATGAATGTATCGAAGCCACCTGTGCAAGCGTAACTTCGCCCACGCGAACACGTTGGTTATAATGACCGATCGGCCTTTGCTTCTCAAGCATGCTTCCTGTCTCTGAGGAATTCAGGAACCATAAGTAATGGTAATTAATTACTAGACTACGAATCTTCATGCAAATTCGTATTTTTGTTAAGAGAATTAATGAAATGGGAGCTTTGTAGAGGATCCTCTCAACCCCTAAATATAATAATTCGTATCTTACGTATTTCTTATATATTTGCATATTGAGTGCATTCTGTTGTTTTCTGAGAATTGAAATTTTAAATAATTGCATAAAAATCCGCAGTTTATTAATTACCAATGACACGATGCTTCTGAGACCTCGAATATCTCTGCTAATAACAAATATAAAAATCGTTCACTCTCTACATAACAACTATGAGTTTTCCAATAAGTCCTGCTCGTTTTATTTTCACATACATTCAATGATACTATACTCAACCCCTAAATATAATAATTCGTATCTTACGTATTTCTTATATATTTGCATATTGAGTGCATTCTGTTGTTTTCTGAGAATTGAAATTTTAAATAATTGCATAAAAATCCGCAGTTTATTAATTACCAATGACACGATGCTTCTGAGACCTCGAATATCTCTGCTAATAACAAATATAAAAATCGTTCACTCTCTGCATAAAAACTATGAGTTTTCCAATAAGTCCTGCTCGTTTTATTTTCACATACATTCAATGATACTATACGTGAAATACAAAATCATTTAAACGACTAAATCCAATTCTTGATTACTCTACATGTAATAACACGAATAACGTTTGCTTCGAGACGAGCTCCCGCGTAATTTCCGACGTGTTTACGTGAAATTTAATAATTGTCCCGAGGCTTTCGAGGGACGGTGTGCATAACGCGAGAAGAGCTCGTCTTCCTGTTACTTTCCTGACATTTTGGCACGCGAAAAAAAATGTACGCTTCGCCGATGCTCGTAAAATCGCGAGAGTAAAATTATATAATATGACGAAAAATATATGTTTCCCCGTCACGGATCGCGGTAATCGCTTAATAGACGCAACTTGTTAATAGCCTCGGGAACGAGATTCGCGATGATGCTCGTCGATTATGTGAAGAACCGGTGATTTCCTTCTCGTTAACATTCTCAAGCACCTTTCGTATTTACAAACGAGCAGACGCGATCGTCGGGTTCTTTAGGCTACGTTTATTTCGATGATTTTCATTTACATAATTCTATGAGTTCATGATAGCTCTCGATCATTTTTTTTATTTCTACATACATTTGACGTTTTTAAAACAGTCGAATATTTTTCAAATCCACTTTACTAAACGAGAGTTTATATCGAAGGGAAAAGGATTACAGTGTTTTGTAGTATTTTTAGGTGTTTGCAAATATTTTAATCTTAAATACATCTTCCAGTAGCTTCACCAACGTTTGAAAGCAGTTTTAAAGTAGAGAAAGAGTGAAATTAATATTTTCAAACGTGTACAACGAAAATAAATATTTAATAATTCCCTATCTATTTGTGATCTATTCGTGGATCTCAAGTGGAGAACCACTGATGTAGATGATTGACACTCTAATTATAATTACAGTGAATATTTAACTACAAGATCCACGCGTATAGATAATATCTATTACGTACTGAAAAATCCTGTTCCAATGTGCTCGAACTCGATATACTCAAGAATAGTATTTTTAAGACACTCTTTGATGTCGATGTAAAAATTAAGATCGAGAATCCAAGCTAAGATCGAAACGTGGTATTGATCGAACGCTGTGATCTGGAAAGTTTGTCGGAATTTATTGAAAATATCTCACAACTGTCCAAACACATTTCGATACAGTACATGCATGAAGCACGGTTACCCCTCCGGGACCATAACTGGCCTTACGCAACGACTATTGCTACTTCGATCCCGAACGGAGAACCAGATCTCCCAGCATGGACAGTGAAAGTCAACGAATACCAAGCCGCGATCTCGGCACTCACGATCAGCATTGTCGACGAACCGGTCAGATGAACGAAACAAATACGTCACGGTCATGTATGTGGCCTGTGGCTAATTGAGCCCTCAAATCTTCGTCCTCTTCGTAAAACTTGGATTAGAAAACAGCCTCGACGAACGATTCCTCTTCAGAAATTACCAAACGACCATTTTTCTATACATAGAGTGGCAGGATACTTACGAATATCATCGACACCGTAATTGGTAGTTTTATGGGTAAAAATTTGTATCAAATATTAATTTAGAATAGTTTAGAATGAAACTGGAACCCGGTAAATGGACTCAGTATATTCCATGAGAGTTTATTTTATACCAGGATATATCAACACGTTTGTGGGTATTTAAAGGTCATTCCCATAAATATTAATAATTTGATAGAAGCTTTCACGAGTTTTCAATGAACGACACAGGCTCGGTCGCTATGCAAATCGTCCGACAGGGTCGCGAGAGTGCATTTCATCGTGCACATCGTAAATTACGTAAAGAGAAAGGTTGCAATCAGGCGAATTAAGTGAAATTGTCCGCCAACCCAGGGAACCATGCCGCTTATTGTATTCAAACAAGATCAATTTTCAGAGATTTACATAAAGAAATGATAACCGTCCGTTATTCGTCCGATTCTTTCTTTGTATATCGAATTGTAGAAAGTTGCTCCACCCAGAAAAAAAATAAAAAATAATGGATTCTTTTAGTCAATGGCGAAGGGCTTCAATTCTCCCCTTACATCCGCCATTGCTTACACATATCCAACATTTGATATACCTGTATCTTTGTTTAATTTGGATTTTTAATTATAACAGTCAAACCGAAATTGCACTTAATTTCTAAGGAAGAATAATAAACCTAAAAGTTCTCCTTCTATTTGCTTATTAATATTTGTTTCATAAAATTTTCATTAGCTAAGAAGGAGTATTATAATATTATACAAACTTTAAAGTCTGTATATAATACGTTATAAATTTAATGGAATGTTCATTATTTAGATATCTCGGAATAATCATTGTTTCACAACCTGAAAACTAGGAAAGAAATAATACCGGACTTTGTTTTCGGCATTTTCTTTTTTGCAATTGCTGCAAGTTTGTTCCCGGTATGTTAAATTGCGGTTGCCGATTCGCATTTTTCCAACGCTCGCAGCCAAGCCGCAACAAAGTTATCGACGCCGTAAATTTCCGGAGCGTAATCCGATTGCATAAGGAGAAAGGTATAATTGTCGTAGGAGGTGTATGCAAAGGCTAATCATTTACGTAAGTGTATCACGGGTTTATTGTTCCTAAGTGTAAAAAAAAAAAATAATTAAGCGTTACAGACGTATCGCTGAGTAACTGGCACCTTGTCTTTATTCAGTTCTTGTTCTTGTAGTAGTCCTCGCTGAAACAGGAAGAAAAAAGACGGGAAGATAAGCGTCCGAATATTTGCGTATTCAAAGCATGCAAATAACGAAAAATAAACGATGATTAGACTTGCTTTCTTTCCTTTACTATTGTTTCTGTGGGGCGTCACTCTACCACACGACTCCGTGACGTAGTTAACTTAAAAACAAGTAAAATTCCTAGAATATTTATGTTTAATCATTTGACAAACTGTTTCCTTCGAAATCACGAATTTTTTAGTAAATAATAATAATACTGAACGAGCTTGTCAAATTGACGGTATTAATAAATAAAGAATAAACAAATAACGCAAAAGATTCGATAAGAAATCTTGTGCTGGAGTGTGAAACAATAAAATTCAAATTCGACCAAGATGGCCGCCATTCGAGGGTTGATTACGCCATCTAGGCCATCGTGGCAGAGTGACGTGCACGTATCGTTCGTGTACTCTACCGCTGCACGAACTAATCAACGTTTTTCGTGGATACAGACGACAGAACTCACCATCCAGGAACATTCTCTGGCTCCATACACTTGAAGCTGTCCTCGCTGTAGACGGTGCCAGGCTCGCACTGTCCTTTCTGCGGCACCACGCCATTCTTGCAAATGTAGAATTTGGCGCAGTCGTCCTGATGGGGGTACGTGGGATGAGGCAGAATCCTGCCAAGCGGTCCAGGTACGTCGCCGTCGGGGCAAACGAATCCGTCGTCGAGAACGTCCCTCTTGACGTGTTCGCACAGTCTGCTGGCATCCGCTGGCCATACGCAGCTGGACATTTTGTCCTCGTAGATTAGGCTAGGTGGACAGGGCATCACTTGAGCCACGCCGTCGATGCAATTGACGAAACGATCGCAAGCGGTCGGATCCTCGTGTTTGAAGTATCCGTTGGCTCGTGGGCATCCTTTCGACGGCTGTGGTTCCTCTGAACGATCGAATTACAAAGAGAACAGTTTTATACGCGACGTACATCACTCAAAAAGCATAGTGTTTTAAAGTTCAACGCGCATTGTGGTTAGTTATTTTAACAGTGACGTTCAGTGAGGTTAGGCAAACATGGCGGCAGATTGGCGGTAAATTCAAAGACAGAGTTTCAACGACAGAACCATAACCAAAAATGTGTCGCCAATCTGCTGACCCTGTGTGGCGTTCAAAGCTGTGGGATGAGATATTGGATCTAAATTGAGCCCACAGCAAGTGCCAACCCCACCTCCTCGTGGTGGACGCTGGGCAACGGCTATGCCGGCCAACGGGGCTCTGGCTAACATAGGTGGATGTGGTTGGGTCATGGTTGCAAATCAGACCCAACATTTTTATTGCTATGTTAATAAATTGCTTACTGTGATGTGGGTTTTATTATGTTTATAGTGTAAAATGTCGAAGTCAAGTGAGTATGATGGGGGTTCAAGATGAGATACAAACTAAACGATGCAAGGAATAAGGGGAATCTCCCAATCCCCTCCACTTTTCAAATTCTTAGTTATTATTAGAACAGACGATTCCCTTTGCTCTTTGCATTGTTTAGCATGTGGACAGTGCGCCAACATCTCGTCTTCCAATAGTACATACATAATATCCTGACATAACCTCTTTAAATAGGGTCGATAGGGCTTCTCAAATTTTTATGAATCGAGAATTAAATAAAAAATATTATTTTCCAGTGTTTAACGCGACCCATAAAAACAAGTTATGATTCGTCTAATGGCAGAAACGTCGAACTTTCGTGTCGTTTCTTTCGTTCGAATACGTGGGTCCTCAGAACTAAGAATTAGCATGCAGATTTATTCATACGGCAAAAAATAGCCGGGACGACGAAAGTAAAACGGCGAACAAAAATCGAAGCGAGCCTGGAAACGATTTTAACCAAGAATGCACGGACATAAACCGGTTTCACCTTAATTTATCGCATCTTTCGCGACATTGCAAACGCGATCTAATCGTTGTCGTATACAAGAGACCGAGACGAAGCTCCCGCCATCAAATGGAACCAGGATTCCATTTTTAGATCAGAAACTTCTTTTTTTCCGAACGGTCAGTGAGTCCCAAAAAATCGGCAAATATACTGACGAATCGAAGACCTAAATTAAAAATTGTTCAGAATTTTTGGAAAATGTTTCTTAGCACTCAAACTAATAATCGAAGATGTATCGCGATACCTAACCTCAATAATATTTTGCAAATCGATTATACCCATATTTTCCAAATTAAAAATTGTCAAAGTGTAGTAAATATACCCCATAATCTTGTATTAAAATATGATATTAATCGTGCGTATACTTTTTTTAGAAAACATTCGCAGATAACATCTTGTCCTGCTTCCGCGTGAAGATATTTCTCTAATAAAATAGTTGTAAAAACGTATTGCGTGGGCGACCAGACAAATTTCTCCCACACGAAAACCATCGTTCAGGGGGTAATCTTTCTAACTGGGAACAGTAGTTCGTATTGCTCGGTGGGAATGCGGTTCACGTCGGCGTTCGGAATTTCTCGAAAATAGAAGATAGTGTGACCAGAATATTCCTACGTGCGCGATCGGTACACGTCACTTTCACCTTTGGTTTCTCATAAGTCCGCCATGGAACGGTCCCGATATCGCGGGATATTTTCGCGATTATGTCTAATAATTCGATCCAATTCTCTGGTGGAAGATTATAGTGAAATCTTTACGCTATAACGCCCTTTCTACAACTAGCTCAAGCTTGCTTCGAAACAGTAGCTTAACGTTGACGGACACTTTAAACTATGAACAGTCTAATTTTATTTTTTGTTATATCATTTAAATGAATAACTAATTTTGAAAAGTTTTTAAATATGTACATATAAATTTTTTAATACCGTAACAGTGAATGATAATAATCGACAGTATTAATATATTACAGGCTTTGGTATTTATGTAGATGTTTGTTTATATAATGCATTTCTGGTCATGTATATATACCTTGAACATTAAGAAAGCGAGTGCGGTTAATATTATAACCAGTACGGTTAATTAAATGCAGATAGCTAAAAACAAAACGAGGATTTCAATTCACAATGTTTACGTAAGAATTAACCAACGCCTGCTACTATTCATTCCGCGAGAGTAATTTTATAATTTTATAAAGCATTTCTTGGACTTTCCAAAGCATTCTATAAAATCGAAACGTTCTTAACGAAAAAGTTAAAAACAAAAAACTACGCCTGTAAATGTTACTTTCCTTGTTCATAGAACGCGATCCTTTCAATTGGCAAATAGTGCATAATACAAAGCTCGTAAACCGTAGTAACAGTAAAAAACACAAAGGTGCAAGAACACGTCATCAAAGTGTCAACGATACGAGCCGCGCCTCGATGGGCTACTAACGTACGAAAGAGACTTTTTTATAGTTATTTATAGCTAAAATAAACCTCCCATAATGTTTGAAATTCTCAAACGTTCTAAAAAAATATACAAAACAATATATAGATACAAAATATTCTTTGGAATATTGGAACAACTCAATTCCAGGTCAAAAATGTTTATCGACTCATAATTTCAAATTCTTACATTAAAATAGCCTTCTGGATATTTTTATAAAAATGTAATTTCTAGCTAAGTTAATTTTAGCTATATTAAATTGGGCTCTCAGCTTTTGATATAATACAAGAATACTAATTTAGTGAAGAGTGCTTATAACTTGTCGAGTTGGTCCAACGTGTAAAGGAACTTACGAAGAAGAGTTCTGTCCCCGCATGGCACGTTTGCTGGTAGGTCACAGAGCTCCTTCTTCGGGTTGTCGTCCCTGAAGACGAGCCCGTCCTTGCACAATTTCTCCTCAGCTTTGCCGTCCAGGCATACGTAGTACAGATCGCATTGTTCTGGGTCAGGGAAGAAGCCCTTTGATTCCGGGCACCGAAACTGTGCCCTAGTCAAGGTCACCGCACTGACCAACAAAAGGTAGAACACGCGATAGTACATGGTCCTTTTCTTTCTCTTTTTTCTATGTGTTTTTTTTTCGTCGAAACCCTCGATGGGGAACCCACAGGCCGCGAACACGCTTTTCTTCTTCTCGTCTCCTCTTCTTCTTCTCGTTCCTCTTCTTGTTCCTCTTCTGGAACCTCGACGGCACGTAGAAACGGTGGATATAACGTGAGTGCAGGCCTGAAACTGGTCCTGATTCGTTTCTGTCGGCACACCACCACTGCATCCTTCCTTGCATTTCACAACCCCCACCCCCCCTCCCTTTCGCCGAAACTCCTTTCTCGCTTGCTCTCCTATCGCCGGTTTTCTTCAACGGGAGTGTCGATACGTTCGAGAGCCGAGACTCGTTTCGCCCTGACTTTCCGTCCCGCGTTACGACTGTACTGTCTTTTTTTTTTTTTTATTTTCGTTTGTTTTTTTTTTTTCCTTTTTTCGTTCGTTTCTACCTGTGCGCGTATTATTGATACCGATATTCCTGTCTGGCGGTTGCTTCCGGGTTGCGCGTAAACGCACCAACCCCCACCTCGACCTACGTCGACTACCTGTTGGCTCTTATCGACGATCCGCCATCGCTTTATCCAAGTACATATTGAGTTTTCCAAAAGAGAAACAAGAATACATACAGTATTTGGAAAAACTACCGAAATATAAAAGTGTAAACATCTGGGATCGTTGAATGGAGCCTAAGTGAATTTTCATGAGTAATCAAAGAATATTAAATATTGCTTTAAGTTCTAGTACCAATCTCACTAATTTCACAATAGATTAACGTGTTCCATCGTTGTCTTCTTTCCTCTTCGCTTCTATGTCTCATAACCTCAAAGTTAATAAGTCTTATAACCTCAAAGTTAGAGACGAACAACCCCCCATTCGCAGACTGAGGCTACCACGAAACTTTCTGTTTCATTTTGATACGGTTTGCACAGACCATAGTGAATAGTGGAAATCGATCCGAATCGATTTATTTTTGTTTCGACGAATAGTTATTTTACCAATCAAAAGTGACAGTTACGGTTTCACGCGCGTTTGCGAAATTATATTTGCGCAACGCTTCGAAAGTGTCCGTGAATGTTAATACGGTCACTTCGACAAGCACACGTTCTCTTCCGGGTGCTTTGAATACGTATCTCGGCTGTCCACCGTGTCTGCTCTTCATCAATAAATTCCAACACACGATCGATCCAGTTTGTCAATAATATTCTCAATCGTCATCAATACTTTTTATTAACTGCTAGTCGTTGCTACTAATTATTTATATACAATCAAAAAAAATATTAAATTTAATTCCCAACAATGTTTGCCACTATTGACAATATCGTCGACCGTGTAAGTACGAGCCGCTTTACGTGTTTTGGTATTCCGTGCGAACCTCTGCACCCGACAGTCGAAGCATGAAAAGCAAGACCAATGATCCTTAACTTGGGAGTCCCGTTAACGAGATTTCTGGAACTTAGGAAATTTTCACATAATTGAACAAAAAATTAAGATTTGTAATGTTGCTAAAAAATAAATTTATCGATTGTTCCTTAGTCGTTATTCTTTCAGACGGAACCCCCAAATTCCATTTTGGTCAGAACGCGTGAAACTTATGCACTTGCACGTCGTGAAACAAAAAAGAAAGGTGGCGAACTTTCGATGATTTGAATAAAAATACAATCTCGCTTTCTTCTTTCGTCAAACGAGCGCTTTTTAAACGGCGATCCCGTGACTAATGTCCGTGAAAGCTGAACAATTTCGATTCGTATTCGGCTCGTGATGCAAAATCAAGTGTATCGTATTCTGTGATCAAGAACGAACACGAAAATATTTGCCAAAAAGAATCGAGACAATGCACGATTAACCTCTACGCTGTGCAATTAAATTCACCAAGATTTCTTGAAAAATGACAATTGATGGTATTTTTAATGTTATGAGCTGCACTTCGGTATAACCTGTAGGGAACTCCATTGTTATCAATATTGTATTAGTCTATTTATCTGCATTAATGATAAGACTAATGCAACACTGATACAATGATTTTGGTTGCCTCCAAAATGATTAATTCTCGTTATTTTATTCTTAGTTTAAATTCGTGTGCCTAACAACAGTAGTATTTTATTCTGGATACCATATTACTCGCATAATACCAAAGTTTATTTTTATAATAAAAAAGAATGCACCGCTGCATACAAGTTTGCACCGCCATCTACGGCAGAACGTCCAAGTTTGTCGACAACCTCCGTTGCATTCGAGGCTAGATGGTGCTCCGAACATTTGCGATCGAAAAACATTTTCATTGTTGATATTGTGTTCAGAGATGTAACGTCTATTCTATACTTCGTCTGTAGCATTGCCTGTAATATGTATTCTACTGTAGAATTTCTGCATCTTGTTTGTGATTATGTGTAATCAGCAGTTCTAGAAGAATCAATTCATCGAAGTAATATGGAAATTCTCGAATTAAAAGACGTGAAATCTATACCTGATATAATTCACGTTTATCCAGACAGAGTAAAGTCTGAAGGAACTCCGCTTGTTATTGACAATGGTAAAGTGTACCATATAACCAGTTTATGTAACGCAATCTTTATACGATGAAAATTAACAAATAATTTATATTAGGATCGTACAACTGCAGGGTAGGTTGGGCCACGGAAAAAGAACCCCAATTGATATTTAAAAATCTTATTGCAAAACCACGGAAAGAGCGCGGGAAAAAGGATGGGGAACCACAAGTTGGAAATGATATAGCAAACATCGAAGCTGTGAGATTTCAGTTGAAAACACAGTTTGATCGTAATGTGGTAACACACTTTGAAGCTCAAGAACAAATATTCGATTATACTTTTACGCACATGGGAATAGACACGGAAGGGGTTGTGAATCATCCAATTATTCTAACCGAAACGTTTTTGAACCCTAATTACTCTCGAAACCGTAAGACATTAAACGTACGCTGTATTTGATCGTAAAGTGAGGTTAGGTCGTCAATTGTTTTTCTTTGCAGTAATGGCAGAACTTTTATTCGAATGTTATAACGTACCTTCGATAGCATATGGAGTAGATTGTTTATTTTCTTATCAGCATAACAATTGCCCATCCGATGGCTTGATAATTAACATTGGATATCATACTACTCACATAATACCGATATTAGATGGTAAAGCAGATCCTATAAATTCAAGAAGGATCAATGTGGGTGGATATCACATTACATCTTACATGCACAGGCTTCTCCAACTTAAATATCCTGTACATGTAAATGCTATAACACCAAGCAGAGCAGAGGTCTATGGAATTACATATTTTTTGTCTTTATTATCGCTTATAGTTCCAAAGACTTCATTCTCCTGTTTTGTAGGAATTAATACACGAGCATTCTGTGATAGCTTTAAATTATCAAGAAGAGATTTCTAAGTGGGCAGATCCAGATTATTACGATGCAAATGTATTAAGGGTACAGTTGCCTTACGTTGCACCTACAAATGCTCCTGGTTTAACGGTCGAACAACAAAAGGAAAGAAAACGCGAGTTAGCTAGGAGATTAATGGAAATTAATGCACGAAAACGGGAGGAGAGGGTTAGTAATCTTGATACGCGTAAAAAAAAATGTTATTTATAGAAGGATTACCTGGTTGAAGTAATTGACGTTTATAGTTAGCAGAAGACGAGGAACAATTAAATCAATTATTAGCAGTTCAGGATTTACTGGAAGAAGGTGAAACAGATGAATTTGACCAAGCCTTGAAGAGCTATTCCCTCGCAAACGAAGCAGATTTAATAAAAATGATCAACAATCTGCAAGCAAAAGTGGAAAGAACTAGGCAAAAAATAGTGGCTGCCAATTCGCAAGAAGAAAATATTGTAATGGAAGAGCAGAAACCAAAAATAAAGTCGAGCCTGCAACCTAAAGATCAGCAAGATTTTGACGAATGGATAGCGGGTGTAAGAAAGAAAAGGTAACGCGCCTTTTGCAATTGTTCTTATAATACATGGAAAGAAAATTTTTTCGCTTTACGGAAATTTCCCAAACTTAACTTAATAGGCAAGAGATATTAGAAAAACGTATGGCCAAAAGGCAACGAAGACAGGACATGGCGAAACGTAGAACAGTAGCCGCGCAGGAAAGAATGCGTATAATTAGTCAGTTGGCGAGGAAGGAAAAACGCGATGATGATTTTGGTATGAGAGACGAAGACTGGGACGTTTACAAAGTTATAAACAGGGTTCGTAAACAATATTTTCAGGTCTATAGTTACTTCCCCGTCCACGACATGGAGGCACGAAAGTGTTTAAATCACTGCTCTAGTTATAGTAATGATTCTTAACACTTTGACGGCCGCTGTCACGTATACGTGACTTTGGCCACTGTCACGTGTGCATGATCTACTGCATCAGGCATCATTTCATCATACATTCAACTTATTACGTTTGTTACATTTATAATTCCTTATAATAATATTCCTAGCATCTTCGTGTATCTGACTTTGGTCTGCAATATCAGCGGTGACGAACAACGGTCTTCGCGTGATACGTCCGGCCATTAAAGTGTTAAGATGAATACCAGCAGATATTTATATCGCCTTCCTATCGTGGACGAGTAATAGATTATTGAATCACGTTCGCGAATTAAGTATCCTTACGCAGGAAGGTGGGGATTCGGATTCAGAGTTAGAGCAAGAGAAGCTTTTAGAGCTTGAGGATGTGTTACGACATCACGATCCAGAATTCGATGGAGCTGGGTCAAATGTTCCCATGGTACCCGGGGAAACTCACCAATTACACGTGGGGGTGGAACGCCTAAGGGCTCCAGAAATATTGTTCCAACCGTCTTTGGTAGGTTCCATGGAAGCGGGCATCGCTGAAACAATCGAATTCGTTTTAAAACTGTACCCACCTGAGCAACAATTGCGACTGGTGGGAAACATATTCCTGACCGGTGGTCCAACAACTTTCCCTGGTTTGTTAGAAAGACTGAATCGCGAGCTTCGCGAAATGAGACCGTTTGGTTCGAATTTTCAAATAAATATTGCAAAAAACAGCAGCATAGACGCGTGGTACGGCGCAAGAGATTTTGGCCTTAACGGAAATCTTCCTGAATATTTAGTAAGTAAAAAGGAGTACGAAGAGAAAGGCGGTGAATATTTTAAGGAACATTCGACGAGTAACACTTACACCCGATCTCCCGATCCCCTGCCAATAATACAAGTACCTGTGACGTCGGAACAAATCATCGTCGAGGACGCTGTTGTCGACGTTGAAATGGAATAACAAAATACAAAGAAACTTATGAAACTTCGTTACGAAATAAACTTTACTGGAAGCAGGGTTAATATTTGCTATTAATTTTATTTGCTCCGTCCACGCGAACGAGTAGAAAAACACAAAGATTTTTCATGGATATCTACTTTATTACACAAGTGTTTCCGTTTGTTCATTCGATTTACGAACAAACTACATTGTAGTCTGTTTGCTGATCACAATACACAGTCCCCGATCGTCGCATTTCGCCATTCAAAGATAATTATGCGGATACATTCTGTTTTACTTTTCCCTTGCTCGTCGTAAACAGCCGACGTCCGCATGTTTGTAGCTCCTCGAGCAATCTAAAAAACTGAGAAAGTGATCCCTCACCTCAGCGGTAGAATTTACTACAGCGACCTCGAGATAATTCCTCCCACTTTCGGTCCATGGCTTAAGTTAACATCACAATACAGTAATATACTGAAAGATATTACGAAGAAGCCCTACAGGCAATCATTACAGCTAATATAAATGATCTTTGCGTGTTTCGTCTAATAAAGGAACATACCGTACGGAAACTTCGAGCCGTTCACATGACACAGCATGTAAGAAAAAAGAAGAGAGGATTAGTTTAAAAAAAGAAAGAAAAAAACGTAAATCCTTAAGATCACAAGCGCACAGCGTTTGTTACATATATATATATATATACTATATATATATTTGTTAAAGCACTCGATGACACTCGTTACATTTGCCTTTTCGTACTCCGAGTACTCTCTTGTCTCTTATCACATGCGGTTACAGATAAAATTACAAGTATTAGCGTAATTGCATACTATGTACGATTCAAAGAAAATGTATTAACTCATGTCCTTCGTCTTCGCGATTCTCTCCGAGGAAACGTGTAATCCGTAAATATACATCGTCGTTATACGCGAATATCGTAAAAGCAAAGTATTTTATTTCCTTTTGTTTTAATATTATAACGTACATATGTACACATACTGCGCTACGTAGCGTTCGCGACGATAGCAACAAAGCTCGTTACAAAAATTAAATTTAAAAAGTCTTACTAATCTCGACAACAGTACCGAACTATACAACACTGTCCTCGAACCGTGCGTTCGTTTCTTTCCCTCGATCGAACGACCAACGGTCGCGACGAGCTTAAAAAACATTCGGGCGAAAGTATCTCGCTAATAAAAATCCAATCGGAAACGCGTACAGAGACATTTTTCGCTTTTTTGTTTTTTCCCCCAAACTGTCGCCGATCGATGATCCAACGTTTCACATAATACAGCAGATTCTTAATCGAAATAATATCCTTTGTAACTATCACAGGCTGAGGTCGCTGCAGTTTCTTTTTAACGATTCTCACTAGTTTAATAGTAATAATAGTAGCATTTTTAACCGATCGAAGGTGCTTTACTTTAGCAGATAATGGAAGGATAGAAAAGTGCGCGGGACACCTCGTTTGTTATTTTTTTTTTGTTCGTTATAAGAATAATAGTAACAATAATAATAATAAAATTGAGGTAGAATCCAATCTGTGAAAAATAAGAGTACGGTTTTCTATCTGCCCGTGCTAAGAGTGAGGATCTACTTTCAGCAATGATAATATATCATACGCTAATTAAAATTAGACACGGTTTCAATATGTTCTTGTCGCGATGATTACCATAATATTAATAATAATAATGATAATTAATAACAATAATTACAATGTTTTTTTTTTCGGTAAAATAATAGTAGCAGTAATGACAATAGTAATTTAAAATAACCATTAATACAACAATGATTAATGTTCTGCAATATAATGGCTTTATGTATATATATATATACATATATAAATATATATATATTTTTTAATGTAAATTTATATATATATATATATTTATATAGTCGTATGGTGGGGCAGAGGGTAAGTGACAGCTATGTACAGTACATACTTGCCTTAGTTGTACCATCGTTACGTTTACATGTACCTATTACTCTTAATAATCATAATATGATGACGACAATAATCAGAATCAGAATCATAATTAATCCATAATAATCGTAATAATATTATTATCGTTTAATCATAAAATACTCTATATCGCGTGTATCGTAATAATAACTACATAGGTATGCAGTATGTACGTAAAGAGGATGTGTTCAACCAGGATATGTCGGTGAAAACTATGGTGTATCAAGCGTCAACTTCTTTTTTTTTTTTCTCATATGTGTATACATATATATATAATATATATAATATATCATTCACTATCATATATCGCTTTTTTTCTTTTCTTCTCAGAACTACTGTTACAAAAGTGCGTACTCTCGTCTTATGTTTATAGGTACATACATGTATCGGCGTGACCTACCTACTTGTTCATTGTCGTTTATATTAGATCTGTAGCTTTAATTATTCGTTTGCAGGATGCAGCGAAAACAACGTCGCAACCGAGGATCCAGTAATGTTTCACTGTAAACGAATTTCACGTGAATCGTTCGGTTCGTAGCAGACAACTTCGAGCACAAACGGTTTCAGGTTACTGCCGTGTTCGTGAACGAGGCATAACAAGGTCGCGGATCACTGGAGTTTGAGAAAATGTCATTTGATCCCCGACCTTCTTTTTACGTTCCACGTTCCTAAATAGACAAAAATACTGTTTCTACAAAGATATCCAATAGAAGACCCACAAATCACGGTTAAACGTGTTTCGACCTTTCGGTTTCAATATACTCGACCGACGCGACATAACCACCAAACGACGAATGCTATATTTTTATTTGTCCATTAGCAATGATTCTTTTTCAGCGTTTAACGAACCATTTTCAAGACTACGTAGGCCAGAAGCGATATAGGCCATGCAGTCGGTTCAGACTGCAGGGTATCCTGGCATAAGATTTGCTTGAAAATGGTGTGATACAAACGTAGCAATATAATTTCACGGCGTGTCGCTGGCGACACTCGAGGCTCGAAGTGACTCGCGTCCGAGTCTATGAAATACGATGCATCCGACGATGGTCAACGTGTTAATCGAGACAAATCTTTGGTATTTTTAGCCAAGAACATAGCGTGCTTTGGTTGCATATCGACACGTTCTTTTATTCTATTTTTATTGCAAATCGAATCCCCCAGCTTTGAATGAAAAATTTGTATCTTCGATCTTGTTTCTCTTTTATGAAAATGTTATGGCGACCATCAACTGCAGCGTAATTTTCTCTGCATCCTGTAGACTTTTCTTAAACGGAGCTCTACAATAATCCTCTTGTTTAATGTCGCACTCACACGCACATGCGTGTGTAACAAGCAACCACGCATCGTTTTCGCACACTCACGCAAACTCGTTCGTATACATACATACATACACACGTTCCGTGTGTTGTGTGTGTATATATATATATATGTATATATCATATACGTATATGACACAGTACTTTCTACGCATCGACGGTATGTATATAGGTATATCTTATCATTATCGTCGTATCGTATCAGAATCTTTTGTTCCTCCAATAATTATTCCACTTTTATCCCCCCCCCTCTTCCCCCTTTACTTGTTTTAATTTTCTTCTCTTTAGAGAATTGTGATCTTGCTCTTTCTCAATAACAACGCGAATTACCACACCGCGAGAGTCCGATAACGAAAACCCATCTCTGAGAAAAGGTCGACGACACGCAATTCAGGACTTGCTTTTCTTTTTTTTCATTTGCTCCTTAACTAAAAACTTTTAGGCACCGTTCAAAACTCGACCTGAGGAAACATATTAGCAATAAAAAATCTTACGCTTGTACTTACGGCCTAACGAAGCCAATCGATCTTTTTCCATTTCCCTATTTTCCGTTTTCTAGCACCCCGTTTATAGACCAAACGTGTGTACTTGTGTGTATGTGTGTGTGAGTGTGTGTGTGTGTGTGTGTGCAATAGATTTAACGATAACCTGCCCTCTATCGACCAAAACATGAAAACACGGACCGGGGAAGACGTTCGAAACGAAGATCTCATGAGACGAAACGTGCGAGAGGCATGCAACCTTACAGTTTCGTTTATAAAAATATTTGAAGTTTTCGAACATTAAAAAGAGTTTTGATCGATGGTTGCAAGTGATTATAAATGTCGATTAGAATTGTAACAATTCCAATTGACATTTATAATCGCATAACTATTTGGAACCAACGGTCGAAACTCTTTTGAACGAAACGTATGCGACGTAGAGATATCCAACGTCCTTCGCTTATCACATAACTGCACTTTATTTCCTTTTGACTCGACAGTAGCGATGGGACCGATCCAATGACATACTCGTTAAGACCGATACGTATAAATCACGGTGTAACAATGGTAGACGCGTATAAAAAACGCCGTAACTTGTAACAAAGTATCAAACTCGATGCAATTGATACTTATCGATACGACAGCCTTGAACCGTTCGCAATTGTTCCATTCGGTTGATAGATTACAAGAGAAATAATTTTTGACATCGATTAGTCGATAGTACTTAGAAACGTTTCAGTCCCATCATTACTCAACAGCTTTACATTAATTATTCATTATTAATGGCATCAAGGTGCGTATACTATAATTACTTTATTCTCAGCGTGGCTGTTTGACGCAAAAATGGCGCTACTGTTCCACGACGGCCCTCTTAACCACGGGACACGGTGTCTATTATCCGTTCACGTAACAAAGGAACACAATAAACAAAATCACATGACTGTCGCAGAGTCGTATTAACCGGGATCTCAAATGAGTAAAAACACGATAAAATCTGTCTCGATGCAGCCCTGGCCGGAACAATGTGTCGATACACTGGACCAATCATACGATCCGTCGTTATAACCTTGTTTCAGCCTGAACGAACAATACACACTTTTGTCCTCGTTTTACAACGTATAACGTACGAAAACTGTCCCGAGTCAAAAGGTTCGCCCAGAAATTCGTCCGATTCATTCAACGAAAAGCAACGATCAACGAAAGAAAAATCACGTGTAATACTGTCGTCTGCGCGTCTCGCGCGTCGCTGCGACGATAATCGAGAGACGAGAAGGGAAACTCGGAGGGTAAAAATTGTCGTAGAAGCGACAGGCGATCGACGGACGACGCTGTTCCCGCGGAGAAACGTTTCATTATTTTTTCGCGTTTCTGTTATTGCTGTTTTTCTCCCCCTTCTAAAGTGCAACGACCGGGTTCGGCCCGACCAGATTTCACAGCGTATTACGCCGTCCATAATGAATTATGGATTACAGTACCTCCCGGATAACTGACCAAATTTGAAAATAAAATTCGTTATACTTTTCATTATATCTTCGCGAGAGTACTATCAATGGCTTGTTAACATTTTCTTATCGAATATGAGTCCAAACACGACCTCGTTTGGACAATTTTTAATTACTCGAATTTTAAATTTCTCTTGAACGATTCAAAGAACGTATAATTAAAAATAGTCTCATCATGGTCGTGTTTGGACTCGGGAAGATCTCGTAAATCCATTGGTAACGGTCTGGCGAAGATGGTAAAAATATGAATATAAATTTTCATCAAAGGTTAACTTGTACCGTTTAGCACTGTAAGTTAGGTTAACTTTCCCCGTCTCAGTTCGAGGTCGAAGAAAAGGTCGATTCCTGGAAGCAAATGGCTAACTTTTACGGGCAACCGAACGCGAATGGATTCGCGATCAATTATCCGGGAGACGCGCGCGTTACACTCTCGCGAAATCGTTGCTTCGTGCGTTGAAACGACGTAACGCGTGGTCGAAAGTAAAAGCTAGTGCTGGAAGTGCGTGTCTTCTCGCGTGTTGTATCCCGTTGCGTTGGAATCCGCGAATCCCGTGAAATCTTACCACTATTTTTATACGCAGGCCTCTACAAGACTTACGGTAGCACGATAAACCTCTATAAAAATAAGAGCTATCCTACGTAAACGTATTACAAAAATAAATGGCATTGTACTCTGCTAAAGAAGCAAAATGGTACAGGCGCAATGTCGAACGACGCGAGCATCGTTTATAATCTTCGACTCGTCCTCTTTTCTTTCGCGCTTTTCCAACCTCTTTCCCCCCACCCCCCACCACCCCGTTTTTTTCGTTCTCTCCACTGCACCGTCGACACCCCACCCCTTCTGCAAGGTAGACTGTCTCTGATAATAAATCGAGATTGATTTTGCTCTTATTGAATTTCGTACATCACCCTCGACTCCCGCCGCCTCCCCGCCCCCTCCCCTTTCCATCGCCCCGCGCTGATCAACCCTCGCCCCAGCGAAAGTCGATTTAATTGCATCGCGCGCTGCTCGTACCAGGAGTCGAGCCAGAGTATTATGGTTGATTCCCACTAACGCTCAAGGGTCGCGACGTTCAATCGACGCTTAGGGTCAACAGAAAATATCGTAACATTGTTTTCGACGCAAAAATTCACGCTGGAGCTATTCGAATATTTTTCAGTCATCCAAATACTACAAATAAACTTCGAATATTTAAATATTTAATTAATATTTAATTTAATTAAATATTTAATACGTTGACTGTCCGCTGAGCCACGCGTGGATCGGGACGGTTTTGATTTAGGTGTTTGCTGAATACAGAACTGAAAAATTTTATGTGGTCACAAGGGCAGCGATGCATGGTGTTCGATGAAGATATTGAAGTGTTTGTATTGCTATGAAAATCTCGTCGTCTCTAGGGACGTTTGAGTCGTATTCGCAAATTTCAATTACGGACAGCCAAACCGTTAGAATATCATTACTTGAATATTCGAGTATTCGAATATCGTTATTCAAATAATACGGTATTCATATACTTGCACTGGGGATGACGCTACTTGCCAAAATACTTGAATACAGAAGTGTTAGAACAGTATTTCGAATACAGAAAAACTCGACAAGTAGGGTCAACCCTAAATTCTTATCAGAGCGACGCGTTGTCCATTTTTATTTCTATCGAGTATTCTCTAGGCTTTTTATTACAATACGGATGAGAAATTAATAGAACTCGTCCGCGACAAACGCGAACTGTATTGATATGCAATGTTCTAGTTATAATAATAACTATGGAAAAGAAAAAATATGTTTTTCTCCAGTCATCCGAAAGTACCGATAGAATCTCTTTCGTCCTGAATTTTAATAAGTTAGGTTGATAGCAGCTTACAACTATATCTCGCCTTTGTACTGTTACGTTACTTATTTTTACTTCTATATATTATGTTTTTTTTTTCACTCAGTACTTCTTTTTTATTTTGTATACAATCCTGGTGCAATAAAAATGTATTACTATTGTTTTTTCTTCGAGTTAAAGCGCGATGCACCTATATCTATCTGTTATTTTTACTTTCTTCGTTTTTTTTTCCTCGTTGAAACAATTTAAGATTATTCGTAGAAAACAACAAGTGCCGAAGCTGAACAATTTTGTTGTTTATTGAAAAATGGTCTGCGTGCCAATGTAGTGTTAAATAGTTATTAATAATGTATGCATATGTCCCGTAAGCGTGAACGTCGCGTCCCTTGAACATTAGAGGGAACCAAGCTTTAAGCGTCTAAATTTGTTCGAAATGTATCGTCCAGTATTCGAATAATTTGTTCAAGATTTGTCGCCTATTCGAAGTAGTATGCCAGCGACCGAATATTCGCCTCGACTCGATAAAACGAATTTTATATGACTCGAATTTATCTCGAACGTTTCGGGTACTCGAACAACTCTAATCGCAGGTGAGAAACGTTGGAAAATGAGAAACGTTCCATTTGGTTTAGACCTAACTTAAACGAATGAGATCTTGAGCCTAAGCCACACTAATTCTTATGGTTTCCCCGCTCAGAAGTGACAGAATCATCTCCACCGCCATTGTTTTTGATTTTATTCACCGCAAGTAACCCCTCGAATCGAGCAATCGACGCCCCCAAACGAGAACAATAAGAAACGCGGTATGTCATCCATCGATGAAATTAAAAATTTTTACATTTGTCATTGTATCTTCGTTAAACTATTACCAATAAATTAGTGATGTTTCCCCGATAAATATAAGTCCAAACACGATCATATTCGGACTACTTTTAATTAAAGTAAAAAAAATGATTCGAATGACTTGTAATTAAAAATGGTCCGAATATGGTCGTGTTCGGACTCATTTTTATCGGGAAATCCTCGTCGATCTATTGGTAATATTTCCAAACAGATATAATAATAAGTATACAAAATGAAGATTTTGTTCAACGTATGACATTCCGCGCGCTATATGAATCTCGAAACCCGTACTCGTCGGACGGTACATGTGTTCCTCAGCATCAGCCCAAGGTATAAAAGATCGACGACTATAAAAACGTGTGATACATTTGTCAAATGTATGTGAAAGAGCTGACCCGTTCGATGACATATAAGCGGGGACTACTGTAGATCCGAATGACCCTGCCATCAGCGACACACTCGAGTACATAACGCGAAATCGATGAAGAAACTTTCTATGGACATTACGAGCCGTTACGTCCATCGGAACACGATGAAAATGTACGATCGTCGTGCAACAGAACGATCGATGGAATCTCAACTCAGCGCACGAGTATTTTTTCGAGGCTTTGCTCGAAGGAACATTCGCGAAATATCCGACGCCGATTTTAACGAAGTTTGGAGAATACGCAGAGCAACCAAAACTTGAGTTTCGTGGAATGGCCAGCAAGAAGTGAAAGTTTGGAAAATTATGAAACTTTGAGAGTATATTTCAATGTTTGCAAACGCTAGAAGAGATTAAACAATATGTAGAGGAAAGTCTTGAACCGACAATCACAAGTGAAATGCAAAATAAAATTTTTCGTTACATCTTATCGACAGTGTCGTTGGATCGAAGAGGTTTTCCCGATGAAAATGAGTTCAAACACGATCTCATTCGAGTTACTTTTAATGACACGTGTTTTTGGCACACGTGTCATGTTGTATTGTCATTCGAAGGATGCGAGTTAGGCTGAATGCAGTCGTATTTGAATTCATTTGCATCGGGGAAATCTCGTCGATCCATTGGTGACGCTTTAATGTAAATATAATGAAAAATATTTATTTTGCATTAATGATCGATGTCGTGCAACATCGCTTTGAAGTTTCTGCCGCCAAACGCCCTGCAATACCAATCTGGACAGCGACGGCGGGAAATAAGTTTAGCGGCTCTGCCCTACAGTACAAAGGTCGTTAATTTCCGTACACTCACCGCGAGACACCCATTCGGAGAAACATAATACTGAGATGGACGAGCACGAAATAATAATAATTATCGTAATAACGTATATACATATGAATCGTCAAACGAAAACGTAAATTTAATCGCATACAAAGAAAAATATATTCAACAAATACATATATGCATATATAATAGATATATATATATATTTATAAATTATAATCACTTTCGAAACGGTCGTGTAAAAAATATTGTGGGTCGATTTAAACACAACAATCACATTGCACGGAATATCGCTATTCCCGGAGCCATTCTCATCTCGATTAACCACGCAATTTTCATTTCTCGTTCGAGTAACAATTATTCGTAATTTTCGTATACAAGGCTACGCTTTACGAACGCATTGTCGCATGTTTATAAAAAATGACACCCTCTTGCCCCCAAAGAAAAAGAAAAACAGAATATACGGCTCAACTTTCCGTTTGCTTTTCAATGGACACGAAAACCAATGAGTACCAAAAAGAAGGGAAATAGAGAGAATAAGCGCAAGAACATTCTAGTTCCGATACTTTGGCTCGTTTCGTTCAAAGACGGGCAAAATTTAATCAATAAATAACCAATGAAACCGACGTGTAGCAATTTATTCGTGATGTCGATCGATCGAATAATATTTTTCTCCGTTCATTGCGAAATATTTCACTATAATTAACAGATAAGAATTTCGCCCGTCTCGGGTTTCGTTACGAAGGAAAAGTCACGATCTATCCCGAACGATCGCGAAGCAGTCCGACTCGTGTTCAGTCGCGCGAACAGAAACGAAAGGAGAAACGACGAGAACGAGAAACGAGGACCGTAGAACTATAATGTAGTACGAAAAAAAAAAGAAAAAAAGAATAATACTTTGCGTTGAGATTACGATTCCTTCCAGTTGCGAGAGCGCGAGAGGGAGATTAGAGATCGACGTCGCTAAGGGAAGAAACTTTCAGTGAAAGACAAGCTTTTTAGCGAGAGCTCGGAGTAAGTTTTCGCGCGAAGAACATTCTCTACCAACGGACTCGTGAAAAAATGGATGTCGCTTACGCGCGTATCGCGTTACCTCGCGACGGTGCTTCCTCTCGGTTGGACATTCTACGCGATATATACACCTTGTTCCCTTACGCGTTAACTATCTTATGTACAGGCTTACCAGCGAATTTCGGTAGGACGCGTATGCTTGCTTATTTCCATACCTAGTGATTCTTAACCGTTTTAAACTCACGGTAGAGGTTGGAACAGTGACAGTAAACGAATGGCACATTTTACTGCAAATGAATCTGATATATTTCTCAACCGTGAATAATTATAGTAAGAATTTTGAAAGCTAGAAAATACAAATTCATTAAATCTCTTGCCAAATATTCATGGCACATTCTGCTGGGTTTCACGGCGATTAAGAACCACTGGTTTACCCGTTTGACCGCAGATGTCGTTTCATTAAGCGGCGCCTAAAGGCAGCAGAATGAAACATGAAACACGCTATCTTTCTATGTTTGTAAATGTCATGAGCATTTTTCGTTCGATTTTATTGGACATTTTTATATGTATTCAGAACTGAATGCCGCTTCTAAAAACAACATTCGAATCGACTGAATGGCGGTGCAAGCATTTGGAACAACGGGTAGAAATAATCTAGGAAAATAAGCGAGGAGCATGATTACGCTTGTCTGCGGTCAAACGGTTAAACGCGATGCATAGAGATGTGTACATACTCGAGAACTATTTGTTTGTAATCGACTCTTATTCGTTCAAGATGAAACATAATTTGATTATATAATTCAAATTGGATTTTTTTATAAGCAAGGAAAGCGTTAAAAACTGTTCATCTTTGATTGATTTTTTCGAAATCTTTATCTAGATAAGAATTACTCCCATTACTGCGTGACAATTATCCGGATAGTAGTAATACTAAAGTATAATACCGTTTACACGAATTTGTACCATTTACGTAATATTATAATTTAAACTTTATTATATGAGGTGGACTGTGGATTTTACGCATATATGGCCTACGCTAATATGGAAAACATATGCAAATGCAGAATATATTCCATAAATTAATATTTTATTTTGCATAAATGCATGCATTCTGCATACGTTTGGTGCACGTTTTTCATATTCGGAGACGCTCTGAATGCAATACAATTTACAGTCTAATAATAAACAATACAATTATCTTCTATTCGGTATATGCAAAGTATTTTACTACATAAAATAAAAACTGCAAAATATTCTTTAAAAATTTGAGTATTTCGTAGCAAAAATTGTAATGTAAGTAACTATTGCTACCTGGAGCAGTTAATTGTAATTATACGACTCGGGTACTACCCGGTTAAGTGTCACTTTATTATCGCTATCAAATTCATAGCTCTCGAGTAATTGGAACACCTCTAATCTAAAATACAATACACGTGTTTCTCGCGTCCTAACGATACACGCTGTAAAAACAAGAAATCAAGGTAAAAGTGCAGTGAAAAAAAAAAAAGAAAAAGAAGACAACGATTTCCTTCGACAAATAAACAACTCTTGCGTTCGATCACGTGTTCCTATGCCGTGCAATAAATATTCCATCGACCATGGATACGATTTTCGAATTCGTTCGTTCGTTTCGTAGACTTCGCAAGTTCGCAAATGTTTGTTTCTCTGATTTGCCTGCTTGCTTCCCCGCCCTCTTTACTTTTAATTTTCGCTATCGATCTTCTTTCCATTTCTTTTTTTTCTTTTTTTTCTTTTTTTAAATTTTCTTAATATTGGTCCGACATTTGCACTTTCGAAGAAAGGACCTATCCTCTTCCCTTCTTCGTATGAAAAATACGGATATTCAATATAGTTGCCACGAATAAAAAGTGAACTCTCACAATCAGATACGTCCGCAGCGGTTGCGGTCAGAATTATTGAGATCGTTAACTTCATCCGGGAGCTACGAAGTATCAGTGCTGGACAATGCTTCGACGTGCCGTGTTTCGAACAAAAAATACTGTTTGAAATAGATTCCCTTGATCTTCGTACGAAAATCAACACGTATATACAGGGTGTTCGACCACCCCTGGGGAAAATTTTAATAGGAGATTCCAGAGGCCAAAATAAGACGAAAATCAAGGATACAAATTTATTGATTGAGGCTTCGTTAAAAAGGTATAGAAACATTTCCGGCCACACGGTATATTTTCGGAAAAAAATTTTTTTCTCGAAAGTACGTAGGATTTCGGGGGTATGTGTATTCACCAAAAATGATTGCAATTAACCCCCGCAACTAAAAATAATTTTTTTAGAACGATTTGAAATTTTTCAATTTTGTCGAAAATTTGTCCATCTTCCTGAATTTTTTTCTCGAAAATGCAAAGGATTTTGAGGGTATGTGTATTCACCAAAAATTATTGTAATTGACTTCTACAACTAAAAATAATTTTTCTAGAACGATTTGAAATTTTTTAATTTTGTCGAAAAATTTGACCACCTTCTTGAATTTTTTTCTCAAAAATGCGTAGGATTTCGGGGGTACGTGTAATGACCAAAACTGATTGTAATCGACCCCTACAATTGAATATAATTTTTTTAGAACGATCTGAAAAATTTTAATTTCACCGAAAAATTTGTCCCCCTACTCGAATTTTTTTCTCGAAAGTGTGTAGGATTTCGGGGGTATGTGTATTCACCAAAAATGACTGTAATTGATCCCCGCAACCAAAAATGATTTTTTCAGTATGATTTGAAATGTTTTAATAACTTTTTAACGAAGCCTCAGTCAAGAAATTGATATTCTTGATTTTCGTCTTTTTTAGCTTCTAGAATCTCCCATTAAAATTTTTCCCAGGCCGAACACCCTGTATAGTCTCAATGTATTCGCGCGATATGGTCTCTACCGTTAATAAATAGTATGTTCGTTGATCAAAAATCCTTTCCTTATCGAAATCGATTCGTTCATTGAAAAATCCACCCCTTCCCTCCCGTGTCGTGTTCTAATTACCGATAAAAGTATTCACTCAAAATTTTACGAGTAACAAATCGAATTCATGTTAGTACAGTTACTACAAGAAAATCGAGACCCGAAAAGGTGATACTCGTGCATATCTCTACTAATATTAAGTTCGTATTTATCCGCGTATACGCTAATAGTAAAAGAATTACGCGTGTAGAAAAATCCGGTACAGAATTCAGATAAAATATTTTTCTAATAAAATAGCGGCGTTACATTAGAAGCTGAGAAGGGAAGTCGCCATTCCACGTGTGGAGAGTCCCATCGATATTTTCATTCGCTTAGATATCCACTTTTATATCGTTTAAAGGCAAATTTTTAAGTTAGATACAACATAAAACAATTTAATTTCCTAAGCAAGCGATAATTCGAAACATGCTGCTCGAATAATCGATAAGCTTTTAAGAATTAATTAGGAATTAATTATAGGTCACGATCCGATCGTTCGAGTAGATTAAAAATATCTAACGAAACTTGAAACATCGATGGTGAATCTCGATTTTTATAACAAAGAAATACTATAAAAAGGAAAGCATTTGCTGGGAAATTCTTAGTTTTGGTTCAGCCATAAAATTAAAAGCTACGAAAAGATCATGATATTATCACAGAAAAATATATATCGAAATAAGCTAGCATAAAAATCATTTTTCATATACATTTCATCAACGAGCGAATACTTTTGCGCGCGACTTTACTGTTTCGCGTGTAATTTTCCGCATTTTAACAGATCGTCGATTAATTTCACAAAACATAGATGTAAATGTAAACGATAAAAGTTTCTTTCCAATCCGTTGTTCCGTATATTAGTAAAAAATATTCAATTTGTTAAATATTACAAATCATCGAGAACACGTTCCAGACTATATTTGCCCGTAAAACAAAATATCGTATAAAATGAGAAGAAATGTATCGCGTGTAATTTTTACGTTCTAAGGTAGACGAACAGAAACAACATAATACCATAGAACACATATTGGGTTGTCCAGAAAGCATATATCGATTTTCAACAAGTGACATTGGAACATGTGTACACTGTGAAAATAGTTATTAACATTCGACTTGCGTGTACAATCTAAAAAAATGTATTAATTAATTTGTTTCCGATTTACACCCTTTTAACACCAGAACTACCAAACCAGTCAAAATTACCTTTGAAAATTTATCATAATTTTCTATAATATTCCATTGCATTATATATTTTTTCGCGTATCTATCGTTTCAATTTCTTTGGTACAAATAAACACACTGTAATTGTCGGTAAGTTCTAGTGTTAATTATGGAAGAAGACAAAGTACGTTAACCCTTTCGATGGTAAGGTTTGAACACTTGGCATTCGCTGTGTGCGGAAATCTGATGGTTGCACTTATCCGAGTATATTTGGTGAACGCCCATAGGCGTTCATTGCAGACTGTATCAGTCGACTAGGTACGTAAGCTACCAACGATGACCAAAGTAAGACGCTAATCGAGACTAACCCGCACACTGCACGATACGGAAATTGGCAGAGGCACTTATAATGCCAAAAATATCGTCCTCGAAAATTTAAATTTATGTTTCGTTGAGAATAGAAAATCAGATGGATTGCATGTCCAATTACAAGTTTTGGAATAAGCTAAGCCCAATAAATTACGATACTGTTAATATTGTTTATTTTTTGTTAGAAAAAAATTAATTTTTTATATTTGATAAAATTGTAATAGGATCCTGCTAAACAACTACAGTAGAATCTCGATAATTTTAAGAAAGTGAAGTTGAAAATTAAAGCAAAGATAGAGGTGACCAATCCAATAATTAGAAGGAAACCCATGCACTCAGTATACCCCCACTTTCCACCTCCAATTTTTCTCGTTTCTAAATAACCATCCCTTCCATTTGTCAACACAGTACAATGAACGAGGTTCTCACGCAATAAAAAGTAACAATATAGGAAACATGTACAACGATTAATTAATGGGAAGAACATCGTATCTAGCAGTAGTCTAAAAACATATTTAACCCCTTCGAATATTGTTCGAAAGTTCCTAAAAAATTGTTTAAAAGTTTTAAATAATGCACCCCTTGCAAGAACAACACGACAAACGAGGTTCCAATCACGTGATGATCTATCGTTTACATTTACTCATCTTTGCCTTGGATAGTTTTTCACTGGCACATGCGGATAAATATAAAGTATATACCTATAAAAATATCATTTCTGCATCGTAACAGTCGACAAAAATTATCCGGACAACCCAATAAAAGTTCCGAGTAAAAGTTATTCCAAAGAGAGCGAGCAACTCGAACATTTCTATTTCAAACAATAGAATAACAATATACGCAACAAAGAAAGTGGTTTCTTTATTGTTTTCACGGTTGGAAAGAATCTGCTTGCCCAGCACCGTGAAAGCCACATGTATCGAAGAAAGGCGGAAAGAGATGCGAAAGAAGGGAGAAAACGAAAGGGAAAGATGGGGCGAGAGAACTAAAATAAAAAAAAAGATCGAACATAGAGAGAGAGAGAGAGAAAGAAGTGAAGAGATCGTAACGAAGGATCGACCGATCGATTCGAAACTGCAATTGTTTTCATTTCTTAGGTATTCCTACGACCTAGCTACTGTATTTACAGTCGTAACAAGCTACAAAATATGTATCGCTATAATAATTAGGAGCTGCGCGAACATATGCACGGAGGCTTTAAATCACAGCATTGTAGTACAATTAATATTTCATAGAGCTGCACAATGACTAGCCAGCACGAAGGACGACACTTTTCTCGTTTTCATTGCACCTAGCATTCCGAACGAAACGCACGAAAGTATGTTTTCGCTTCTCGCGAGGAAGAAACGACAGAGAAACCATCGGTTCCTCTCCTCCGCGCGGATGCAGGCGTAATACACGCGCCACGCGTAACCGAACACGAACAAAAACAACAACAAAGAACAAATATCGTTTTTTTCCCCTCCTCTCCTCTTTCTGTGCTCGCAATCCTTTGCGAGTAAATCAGTCTTGACCCGGTGACTTCGCGTCTCGTTTAAATTAAAAGCCTCAGGCATACGCGCGCAGAGAATTGTTCTTCATTTTTTTCTTTTTTCTTTGCTTTTTTTTTTTGTTGTTTTTAAGTTTTGTTCAATGTGAAGACTAAAAGACCGTCGAGACAGGATCTACGATATAAGGAAGTTCGAGGCACGCTAGCGCGAATGTTATTTTCTCTTTTTTCTTGGTTTTGTTGCTTTTTCCCCATTTTTGTTATGTTTCTATTCGAATCGCAATCGCGAACTCGCGTACCCACTTTTACCCGTTGTGTTGTCGATTCGTAAACACTAGACGCGCGCGCGCATGCGACGACGCCTCGCGCGCTCTTGGTTCCGTTATTTAACGCGCGCGTGCGATCGATCTTCTATTTTCGTTTTATCGTCGAAACGAACGGACCGTCGCGCTGGATCGTACGCAGAATCCCGAAGGAGACGAAAACTTTTCGCGGCTGTCATGGTTTTTTTTTCCCCCGCTTGTGTCTAAGCTTTTGTGGCGTTAGTGATAACAGATTAACAATAATCGTGATGATCGTATTAATCAGAACGTTAATAATAATAATAGTCGCTAAAACTAATCTCTAAAAGTAGTTAAAAAAAAAAAGAGAAAAAAAAAGAAAAAAAAAAAATGAAAATATCAACAGCCCTGCTATTACACTCCTAGTACTTAGAACTAACACGATCTGCACATCCGCTCATCGTTTTTATAATACATCCGTATGTATATGTATACGTATATACAATATGTATCTGTGTGTACAATACACTTCGATATGTGAAAAGTAAGTACACCCATGGAACTGATTTCAAAGCTGTGTAATTGTCCTACGCGATAAAAGAATACCGACACCGAAACGTTTCTATCGTTCAGATACGTACGCGGTGAGGTATACAGAAATTAGTACAATGGGGGTAGGGAAGGAACCGAGGCGGGGATAGGGGTGGAGGGAAGAAAGAATTAGAAGTAAACGTAAGAGAGGGGGAAATGAGAAGAAGAAAACAAACTTAAGATTTAAAGCTAAAAAAAAAAACCATGGTGACTGTGTCACGGGTCCTACCAATGCACGCACTATGCACGTTACTAAATGAAGTAACGTTTGCGTGTTACTAATAATAACAGTAGTAGTAATAGTAATGATAATAATCAGAATAGTGAGAATAATATATAGTTGGGGAAATGTCGGTGGTGGTGGTGGCAATGTTAGTGAGAATATTAGTAAGAGTAGTACTAGTAGTTGTAGTAATAATAATAGTAGCAGCATTAGTAATAGTAATATTCTTGTTTTTTGTTTGTTTGTAAAAGTAATAGTAGGGTGTCTACCAAACACCTTCGGTAGAGACCAATGTCCGTTAAATTCTGACAGCTACATCGCTCCGTGACATTGCTTACTTTTTTTTTCCTCGTTTTGATATCATCAAAATAGTAAACCAATAGTTTTAAACGTTGTAGATAATAATTACTATCTATATCACAGATCCAAGTGACTAAACTCCTTTAAAAATATAATATAAATATGTTATGCGTATAATGGTTCGCGCATAATATATATACACACATAGATATATATATATATGTATATGTACTCGCAGTGTGATTGAAAAATAGGTAAATCAAGAAGTGCGGAAACTTGGAAAACTCGTGTAGAAACGTTACGCGATAGTTTATGCTAACATCGATGTACCACGACGAGATCGATAAAACGAGGAAAATTCAGAGGTCGAGGTTAATTATCGATCGCTGCTCGAGTACGTCCCTTCGAACGGTGCTATTTAATTCTCGTTAAAATTACGCTCGTCAACGTAGTAATCCATTAAATGGACCGAGAGGTGACCGAATACGTGCAAAACGGTAATCAATTTACAATTGATTTTCAATTCTTTTCCGTCTTCCTTTTTTTTTTTTCTTTTTAAATCGAAACAAGATTGGTGCGTAAAAATTCTTTAGTACTATTAATCCACGACTGGGTTCAAGCATCCGTCGCGATCCAGAAAGCGGATGCTCTTTAGGCACTTTGTTTAACCAGCACCGTTAAATGACACGCGATCGAAGAGCCCGCGTTAGAGCGCTGACGTCGCGCGAATCGTCGCTACGTTCGTGGTAAAAATCGTCATTGCTGGCATAAACTGGCATTCAATTGTTGCGCTGAATATATTCGGTGTACGAGATCGGAGGACTCGTATTCGAGTACTGAGCGTACAGATAGAGTGCAGGGTGAAGCCCTGGTGGAGGAATGCCGCGATGCAGTTGATGCGAATGATGATGCGACTCTGATGAATCTATAGGGGATGACATTTGCGGGTAGAGTTGGGAGTTGAGGCTATCCAAGGAACTGGAAGAGCCCGTCGTTTGGTAGACACTCTGCGATGGTGTGTGCTCGTGAGACACGGGTGAATTAAGTGTGAATGGCGAAGACGCCGAGGTGGGACATACTACTTGCTGCGGTGACTGGTGTTGCGGTAGGGACTCGGACATACTGCCGTCTAAACACTAGTTGGTAGTCTGCGGATGTAGCAGTGGTAGAGGAAGTTGAAGATTGTTTTGCTTCGCTAAACTTGCAATCTCTGCCGCGATGCCTCCTTTGGATCCTGCCAAACCATCCAACGAAGAGGGTCCCTCGCTGTAACGTAAATCACAGACCGGGCTTTCAAAACCTGTACCCGGCGTTCCGCCGCCGGTGCTTTGAGGCGTCGGTGGATTGTGATTCGTATTGCTTTGATTTATATCACGATGTACTCGATTCTGATGCCGTATGAGATAACTGTCACGTACAAAAGTACGTCCACAGATGTTGCACTCGTACGTAGTACTTGCGGTATGGGTACGGATGTGAATTGCGAATTGACTCTTCGACGTGAACGTGAGAGAGCATCTGTCGCACACTAAAGGTTTCTCGGCGACGTGACTCCAACGATGCGCGGTCACGTAGCTCTTCACTGCGAAACGTTTTTGACATATATCGCAGGCGTACGGTCGCTCTCCCGTGTGCACTCGTTTATGAGTATTAAGACTACTCTTTTGCGTAAACCTTTTCAAACATAGCTCGCATTGGAAGGGTCGTTCTCCTGTGTGCGTCCTCATGTGCACTTCCAAATATGGCTTACGGCAAAAACTGGCTTCGCATACTGTACAATGATATGGTTTGTTGCCCGAGTGAAGTTTCATATGTACATAATACGACGAAGCAGAAGATAGCACCTTGCCGCATACTTTACAAGGCTGTGGTCTTGACCTTGAACCCTCTTTAACAGTTTGCTGTCCCGTCGATTGACGGCTCGGAGCCTCCTGTTGCACGCTCTGACTCTGCTGTTGTCCCTGTTGCGCTTGCTGACTCTGCTGAGTTTGTTGCTGACCCTGTTGTTGACTTAATTGTAGCGTTGTCTGTTGCTGAGGATGACCCTCTTGCTGAGAAAGATCCTCACGGTCGTCGGACAGATTCACCATAGAGTTCGAACCATCTGAACGGCTCGAAGCAACAGAATAAAAGCCCATGGGCTCGCTTTTGATTTGTTGTTCGAACATGGATGTCATTATGTCGGTTTGCTGCTGCTGAGCCAGCTGTTCTGATTGCGGCTCCTGCTGCTGCACTGCTTCTTGATGGGGGAGCAGAGTCAGGTTGCGCTTGACAAGCTGCTCATATCCCGCGTACCAATCCACCTGTGTGACAGGGAACCTCTATAAATCGCCATTTAAGACGCTCGTTAAAACGCAAAAAAGTTGCGTGCAACGTGGACAGTCTTGTAAATTCGGTTCATGGCGTGCCCGACTACGAACATACGCATGTCAGGTTAGACCAATCGTTTTGACATTTATCTTTGACAAGTGACAGAAGGTAGCTGGACGATCAGCTGATTGCATAACTTTTACGCGAAGCGCTTCAAGACGGCACGATGCCGTCGTCAACAGAACGTAGCCCAGAAGCGAGCAACACGGTCGACTCTATTTTTAAAAAAAGCGACGGGAGAAACGGCGGAATATTTTGACTGCGAAACCGGATTCTTCGCGAGCACTTCACGAGTGGGGGTCGCTTTCGCTGCGGTCGAGAAAGAAAGCATCGTTTTACGAACCTTTGCTAATGTAGTAGTCTGGGCTAGGGTCGAAAAACGTCACGCCTCATCGAGCGCACGCCTCCCGTTCACGAGCGGCTTCACGGACAATCGCGAAACATTTGTACGGCCAAATTGTTTTTCTCCGACACAAAATATAAGATGGCTGCGACTATATTTCGCGACCGTCACCTATATGCACTCGACAAACACACGCGCCTAAGTACCGACCGACGATATTCCCCAACTTTTCTAATTGGCTGCCCTTCTTAAGCCGCGAATATTATACTCCGCTACGTCCAACATCGCGCTTCGAAAACCGCTGATTGGATCGATCTCTCGCAAAGCTTCATTCACCTGTTTGATTTTATGCATATTTTAAGAGACAAACTTTCTCGATACGAATAATGTCGATTCCATCATGATATAATCTGATCTTTTCAACCATCTCGTATGATATTTATTAAAGTATTGCATAAACGAAAAGAAACTATGAGTAGCATGCACTTTTCGCATTTTCTTTCTGAGATTATAAATTTTCGTATACATCTCGTACAAATTTCGATTATACGATTAAAGAACTCGATAACTTCGTTAACATCGATATGAAAAAATAATGTATATGTAGAAGATGCATACAAAAGTAGAAAGCTAAATATCCGACGAAGCAAATATTTATAACTGAAATTTGATAAGGAAAACAGCAATCATTTAACAACTATTTAAGAATTATAAAACAATAAATTTACAATACCATATTTACGTATCTTTCTTCTAATTTCACCGATACTTTATTTAGCAAAGACTCGTAAAGAGTCTCTCGTAAGAACACATGTTATTGATAACAATTTTAAATCTCTTCCAAATTGTGCGCAGTATGTATTTCAATCCGTGTTGCAATTATTAAACGCACCTTGAGTGACGACATACTAGGAACTCTGAGGGCCTATCAGCCTATCGAATGTAATTTCAAACTGTAACGCCTTGGAATAATGTTCCTAAAAAATCAGGCGACCAACTCGAAAACTTGCGTGTTCGATACTTCAATGTACTGAAGGGAAAAGTTATTTCATTTATAAACACGACTGCCCGCTAAATAACTTTGGAGTTTCATTGAAAAATCGAAGAGTTTACTACACGAACTGAACAGTATTGAATTCGGTCACAGTCATATTCGAGATTACAAATAGGTACATTCAAAATAACATTCCATATAAATAATTTTCAAAAGTATATAATTTGACAAAATTAAACAATAATTTTTAATTGGAATTAATTTAATAAAGATCATAATCTTGTAATTATTAATGTATCATGTTAATAACATGGTACATGTAACAATGTAGCATGTTAGTTCGTCTCTTAACTATTGTATTGTTGTAAAATAACAATACAATACAATACAATGTCAGTGTATTTATATGTGCATTGCATTAATCAATTTTCATGTTAAACTTTTAGTTTTAATAATGGCTGTATCTTCTGAAGACATGATGAGTCGCAGTCTCAATGATCCTGTAACTAAAGCAGTAGTAGATAATATAATGGGTAATTTACCTACAAAAAAACCTTTTGTTCGCTGCAATGATTGTGACCTTTCATTTACAAGCCAAACAGTATTAGACACGCATTTACAAGGTGCTCGCCATGCTAAACAGGTTTGTAAAAATGGAATCATATATGCAGACAAAACTATGCGATTTATAGAAAATTGAAACACAAGATAATGCACATATAATAAGAGAAATAAACTTTGAAGCAGGAAACAAAAAATACTGTAGGTTAGAAATATAGACATACACGCTTATTTTATAGATTAGATCCAAAAATATAATGGCATCGCTCGAAGAAACAAAAGTAGCATTTACAAAGGACGAGGAAACGAATGGACTAAAATGCAATGTGTGTAATGTGTGTCTAAATTCTATACAACAACTTCAAACACATTTGAACGGTATTTTATAAATTGAAATCTTTGGTAATTATTTGTAATAGCATAAATTTGCATTATTGTAAATAATTACCAACTTTTTTTTTACGTTTCTATATTTATAACAGATTCAGAGACATTCTTTTTTATAGGAATCAGGCATAAAAAGAAAACAATGAGAGGTAATAAACCCTACATGGTACGAAAATCTTTATCATATGGGTTTAGATATAGTCGTGCTATGTGCATGGAAAAAATAATAGAAAAAAATATTGTTGTGCTAATCTACTGCTTAATTTTATTTATATTCGCATGCTTAATGCTACTGCTAACATTTTCTTTCCACCTGTTTCTATAAATTAATATAAAATCCACAGATCAATGTTTAAATAGCTTTAATTCAGCAGTGATGCTTAGTGATATTTTCATGCTTGTTATAATTTATGTGTAATTATTTACTGTTCATTATTTATTATTATTTATTATTATTTATTGCATATTATTTATTATTTATTTTTGTCAGACTGAAAGTGTATATTTATTATTTATTTGCTTGTGAACATAGTGCCATTAAAAACAGCTCAATTGAGAGACATTTGGTTGCTTGATATAATTAATAAAGTTCATATTGTTCACAAAATATTTTGACTCTTCCCCTTCGTTGGATTCCTTTTTAAAATGTATGAATTACACGTGCATTTTTCCCTTTTATCGAATAAATAAGCTTGAACGATGCTAATTATTTATGTTTTATAAAATTAACAACATTTTATAACTTTCATGGTATGTAACAATTTTCTCAATCATAATTTTATTGTGAAGCATAAGTCCATTACAAATTATTAATATTATGTTTTTATTATTTAATAGAAAACAAGACGAAGTAAATTTCTTAAGGGCCCTTATATGTATGTAAATATGTGTGTCTTCTAGAGAAAACATTCGAAACTTTACGTTATTTTTGTGACTCGAAACTCTCGAAACTCAGGTAAATAATAATTTGTATAAATAACGTACTAGAATATTGTGACAATATGAATTTATTTTTATTGAACTAATAGTAATCCAATTGAGTTTGTGTTTAAACTTCAGACTCATTTTTATTAGTGCGATTTCGTCAATTCATTACAATAATCGTTTATTCAGATTCATACCTTGCATCCATTTCCATAACTTCTTCAAATGATCGATTTATTGGAGATAATTATTGTTTGAAGTTTCCTTTGCTTATTTATTTATTTACATTGTAATTTACATTTAATTTCATCAAGCAAATCTGTTAAAATAGATACTTCTTTGAGAAAAAAAAAAGAAATACGCGTTTCACGTTTCGGGAGTTTCGAGTTTCGAGATTTTCGAGAGTTTCGAGTTTTCGCAAAGTTTCGGATTCGAGCTTTGCTAAACTAAAAATCAAGTAATAATTTCATTAGGAATAATCTCAGATCAGAAATTACGCTTATAGTTCAGTGATATTCACATTAATGATAAAACTTTGGTTTTAACTCGTTTATACCAATTCATAAATACGAAATCTTGTCTTGTTTAAAAAAAATGCAACAGGTATAATTTTTTGAAAGATGTTCACATAGACGTTTTCTTAAGCAAGTTCATATACTTTCGATATATCGAAGACACATTTTTTTTAACTTATAAGGACTCATTTGTAGATGTATGTATACGCATATACATGTAAAATTTTTTAATTACGCCTTTTGTTAAAACTATTTACATTAATGGTTGCTTTCTCCATAGCATGAATGTAGTGTTCAAGCTGATTTATTATCACATTTGACCGCTTCAGCGGTTGTGATACATAGATAGTGTTGATCGCACATTGATGCTTAGGTGGGTGGGGTGGCAAAGAAGTTGGCAGTCCAGTGGCATCAGCCCCCATGAATATCCAGGAGAACTCTACTTCTAAAGGTGTATCACTGTCATGCAACATGTGCAACAAGATCTTTAATTCCCCGGCACAATATAATGTGGTATGTTAAATTTGTTGCTTAAAAAAGGTCAAGTAAATATATTTGTTATTCTTAATGATGCAGTTTATATTACATTACAGCATATAACGTCAAAGAAACATACTAGTAAGTTAAAGCAAGCAAAGATTCAAAAAAAGAAAAGATTCTTTCCATATTGGAAAAAGCCTAAAACTGGTGTAAATTCGAAAAACCTTGTTCAATCATTATCGAACAACTTTGTACCTGGAGGTTTCACGAATCAGACATAGGAGAAAATGTGAGAGAATTAATATGTCTATTTTAATACATACATTAATCATTCGGATGTACATGTTTTATTTTTTAAATAACGGAATTTAATTTGAAAATTCTATCGCCAGATCGACTCGATTTTGAGTTTAAAAAGAAAACACTCGACTATATGTATAAAAGCAACATATAGACAGTGTTGTTTGTAATTTCATTCATAAGCATTTATGGTTTGTAATGTATTCGATTTTATACCTCTCTTTTTGAACTATTTTTTTTATTGTATAATGTAAATACATATTTGAGATAAACTGAATTAAAGTTGATATCATTTTTATTAAAAATACTTATATAAAAAATACAAAATCAGACCAAATGAAGCGCGTATTATATGTTAGAGAATGGAACATGTCAATTGTAGTTAAATGATCGTTGTTTTATGCAAACGATATAATTCGAAAGATCGTAAAATTTTCAACATGATACTTATAGAAACTTCGAAACAAGAAGTTTGAATCTGTCTCATCAAAATTTGAACCTATATACGAAATATTTGATTTCTCTCTAGTTTTTATTATTGAACGATATAGCACAAAACGGTACTGATGTATTGTATGAATGTATATACACATGTCCATTTAAACAGTATTTGAAAAATATATAATGTTGAAAATGATACTTCATGCTGTGTAATTTCTTTGATCTTGCAGTATATGTTGAAGAAGTTTTGTATCTCTTTCTGTTAACTCCACAGTTCTGGGCTGAAAATCAGTTACATATAATTGAAAGTACTCGATAAGTTATGTGTCTCATATTATTTGCAGTTACCTCTGACGTATAAGTTTTTAACAAATGACTCAGTTCTGCATTTTGCTTTCTCAGAAATTCAGTTTCAGCATTTAATTCATGCCTCTTTTTCAGCATCTCGTAATATTTTTTTAGACCAACCAACAGGTTATCCCAGAGTCTCTCTTTGTCTGCTGAAAAGATATTTTTATACCGTTGCCAAAATTCAGTAATATCTTTATCCGTTATGTTTCGCGACACTGTGACTTTTACTTTTAATATTCTTTTAGCGATAGGTACAACACTTTCTTCTCTCTTAACAAATTCGTATCTTTCTATGAATTCTTTCAAGGCATTGGCCACAAATTCCGTATTAATTGCCAATAAGTGACCTTTGTCGCACGTCAACTGTCGCTTTGGTTTACCATCTGTTCAAGACAATTTATTAGTGACAGACATAGACATTGGTGAAAGACATATAGAGAACAAGATTAAATTTTTATTTTATACCACTGACGACTTCGACGATGCCTTCTGCAACACAGACAGACGGAATCTGCACATCCTCGGATGATGTTTCGGTCGAAGATGTTTCCGTTGTACTACTCTCAATTGTTGTTTCATTTTTGTCGCGGAATTTCGTGCAACAAAGTGCTTCTTGCACGGCTGCAACTAATTTATCTTCTTCCGGATTAGGTTCATCGTTACCGCAAACGGAGGGTAAAGTGGTTCTGCGGTTTGGCGTTCAATATTCACAATTTAATTATACGAATAATCAATTCTATTAACTGGATAATAAATTTATAGGTAATTTAGGCTTTATCACGTACACGGACGAAGTTTCTGTATTTTCGCCAGATTGACCACAAATACTCGGTGTGGTCTCAGTTTTTATTGTGCACGTGGGACAGTACGCATATGGTAAGAAAAAGTTTAATAAAAATTGAAGATCTTGTTCGGATGTAATTTTTAATGCCTGAAAATTTCAATTATAAATGTAATGTAAACTTCTTTTCGATTGTATGAACAATATTTATCAAGTAAAATCGTACGAAATTAAACTATTTAAAACGAAAGTTGAATAAGAAAATCTGCGGTTACGAGAATTTAAACTCCAGATTTTCCGCTTACGAAGCAGCTACTCCACCCACTAATCCAATATATTCTCTTGTAAAGTACTTGAACTTAAAAACTTTTATGTTCGAAATTTTAAGTAGGATAAAAGTTTTAAGTTTTTAGTAATATATGTATATAATTTGCCTTGCTCATCGACGATGTTATTTAGGTATGTTTCGCTAATAGTGTGTAAAATATGAATAATATGAAAATAAAAAAATCGATACGTTATGTCACAGAAATACATGTATGCAGGGTGTTCGGCCATTTCTGGGAAAAATTTTAATGGGAGATTCTAGAGGCCAAAATAAGACGAAAATCAAGAATATCAATTTCTTGACTGAGGCTTCGTTAAAAAGTTATTAACAAATTAAATTAAAAATTTTCAAATCATTCTGGAAAAATTATTTTTGGTTGTGGGGGTCAATTATAAGCATTTTTGGTGGATAGACATACCCTCCAATTCCTAATCACTTTCGAGAAAAAAATTTGAGTAGGTGGACAAATTTTTCAGATCGTTCTAAAAAAATTATATTCAATTGCAGGGTTCGATTACAATCATTTTTAGTCATTACACATACCTCCGAAATCCTACGCACTTTCGAGAAAAAAATTCGAGAATGTGTGAAATTTTTCGAAAAATTAAAAAATTTTTAATTATTCTAAAAAAATTATTTTCAGTTGCAGGGGTCAATTATAATCATTTTTGGTGAGTAGGCATACCCCCGAAATCCTACGCATTTTCGAGAAAAAAATTCAGTACGGACGGAACTTTAAACGTTAATAACTTCTTAACGAAGCTTTCATCAACAAATTGGTATTCTTTATTTTCGTCTTATTTTGGCCTCGAGAATCTTCCATTAAAATTTTTCCCAGTTTTAGGCATAAAGATACCGATGATTAATGGGAAGAATACCTCGAATACTTTGTCCAATCGAATTAGTAACTTGTCATTCTCCGCGAAGTTAGACAGTAGGTTCTTTAAAGTATCCTCTATAAGATGATCGCAATGATCGGATATTAGTTTCGAAATATGGTTCAGCAGACGTCGTTCCAAATTGATATCATCCAAAGTCGTTGCCGGTTCGTACGACTTGGAAATTGTCTTTCTCTTCCTCGCCTCCTCTTTTTCTAAAATCGTAAACAAAGATTTATCCACGAATGCAATTACGCGACAAAAATTTTACCCTGTTTCAAAGCACACATCGCGCCGCAATACGACGGTAGATCTTCCTTTCTCAATAACTGTTCCGTCGGTGGTTCCCATTCTATTCCCAACAACTGCTCGTGTATAATTCTGTCCGCCCCTAAAATCTGAAACACGCCCGTTTAAAGGAAACTTTCTCATTCGCAGCCCGATTTTCGATGTACCTTGTCAACTAACTCGTTGGCAGTCTCGATATTCATATCCCAAATCTGCATATATTTTCTATCATTCACGGTTGCCAAATAATTAGACTTCTCCTCCAGGTCTATTATAGCTTTTTGCGATTTCAAAATTTCGTTCGTCAGCTTTTGAATTTCCTGTCTCGTCGATTCCTCCAAATCCGTGTACGTTTTTTTAAAACCATTCATAGCATCTTGAAGCCTGAGATCCAAGTATTAAATTTCATCAAATGGAGTTTGTTATAAATAGAGTATGTTCGGCCATTTCTGGGAAAAATTTTAATAGGAGATTCTATAGGTCAAAACAAGACGAAAATCAAGAATACAAATTTGTTGATAGAGGCTTCGTTAAAAAGTTATTAACGTTTAAAGTTTCGCCTGTAAAACGGCAATCTGCGAACAGCTGCGTGCGCACGATAGTGGTTCTCACTCAGGAAACTATAAGGTTGTCGATACGCTAGCGTGCGCACGCAGCTGTTCGCAGATTGCCGTTCTACAGTCGGAACTTCAAACGTTAATAACTTCTTAACGAAGCCTCGATCGACAAATTTGTATTCTTGATTTTCGTCTTATTTTGTCCCCCAGAATCTCCCGTTAAAATTTTTCCCAGAAGTGAAACAGTTTTTCCCAATATTGTTGCCAACTTGTTTATTCTTCTCTTCTGTTGGTTCTTCACGATAATGTTCTCTTCCTCCCGACGCTTCAGCACCGCGTAATTGTAATCCAATTTCTCGACATTCATCAAGCACAAAGCTTTCATGTTCTGCACCTCCTGCTGTAGCTGTTGTATCTCTAATTCGAAATTGATCTTCAGTCGCCTGAACTCTTCCTGGTGTTCTGTAATCGCTTTCCTCATTTCTTCCTCGTAGTCCCGCATTATTTCCTTCTTCTTCTCCCTCGCTTCCACGGTGTCTTCCTTGTACTTTTGCAACAGTGCCTCCCATTTTTCCTGAGAAGTTGTCAGAAGCGTTTTGCGCTCCGATTCGATGACGTTCTCGACCATCTGCAGCTCGTGGCGGTAAGCTTTGGTCATTGCGCGTACCTGCAGAAAACGGTCCTCGTTAAAGATTGTACAAAATTTGTAATTATCCAAAATTATTATGGAAAAAATTTAATTTAAAAGACTCACTTGATTTTCCATCCTTTCGATGAGCAAATCGATATCTTCGTTTTGGTTGTTCACTTCTTCAGCGTACATTAGATCGGCTTTCTCCAGTTCTTGCTTCAATTCCGCGATTAGGGCATCCTTTTTATCCAGGACTTCGAGGCACTTGGCATTCTGAGACTCCAATTCGTCGTGAATATCTAACGGGTCTTTGCAGGCAAGAATTTCGGGCCACTTCTGGCTAATCGCGAAGTACTTCTCCGTACACGTTTTGTCTTCCTCTTCGAGTGCCGCCAGTAATCTCTCCCTCGTCTCTTGCATTTCCTTGCGCCTTTGCAGCTCCCTTGCATCGTTCGCTACTTTCACGCCGGAAACCTACGAATATACGCTCCATTATTATTTAAAATAAACTCAGCATACTTTGTAACAAACTGATATTCATAATTTTTATTTATCACCGAAAAGGAACGAAATATTGAGGTCGAAGTTTTGAGAATAAAGACATGCTTGTTCGAATTAAAAAAAAAAAATTCGATGTTGTTACAATTTATTCAAAATTATCAAATCACGCGTACCACTTCGCCACCTTCGAGGGCCAATTTTTCCAAAGCGTTTATACTTTCGAGTACTTGTTTCTCGATGGGCGTTATTTCCACAATTTCCGTGTCCTCGGCTGTCGATTGCCTGAAATCAAATACTCGACTCGTTCAGTCATCTGTATAGATAGCTAATACACAAGATGCGTTGCAATTAGTGGTACAATCTAGGAGGAAGTGATTCTAGGTACTAAAATAAATTGGTAATGTAAAATAAACTTTTTATATTTTTTTACATTGAATATATTCATAGAATTTTGATGACCTAAATATTACAATCAAAATTGTATTTAATTCTTACTTGTGCAGGGCATCTAAGCGTCGTTGAATACGAAGTTTACGAGCCAATTTTCGCTCGTTTGCATCTGATGATAAAACCGATGGTTCATCCAAATTCTCTGTGATCTCAGAGTATTTTTTGTACGTGACAGACATGTTTTATAGTTAAATTATAATTAAAAATTCAGTAACGCTTGTTTTTATTGATGATACACGCCAGTTACAAATAAAAATATTGTGAACAAGGTTAGATACCAATGCTACGTGAAGACTGATAATGAGAGGTAACAATTACATGAAATCAAGTGTATCTAATAAACAACTTTGTTTGTTCGATACATGATTGTTGTTTCTATTTACTGTTGGTAACTGAAGTTGTTCACTTTTCTCCCAAAGATGGCGCTGAATGTCAGTCTTCGCACGACTCCTTTAATTAGATCAGTAGGCCTACAGAATTGAACGATTCGGATGTACAAACGAATTGAATATAATACGTTGAAAATATGTATATAATTCCAGGTTAATGTACTTGAATTTCATAATTGCATGTGTTTTAATAAGTAATAAAAATAGTAGAAATTAATTCCTTTGAAAAGATTTGAATTTTTCATTACAACACATATATGTAGATGTATACATACGTAATATACATAAGTACAACGGGTTTCAATACGTATGTCATCGTTATCACCAGACGTAAAAATTAAATATTTGTATTCGTATATTTTCCTGAACTATGGATCGAGGTACGTCCATGCTACTTACATATAACCATTAGATAAATAAATTACATATGGTAAATGATCCAATGACGAATGAAAGAAGAAGATTGTGCGATAAGTAGTAAATTATCGTTCTAGATAATTCTTATGACATATTTAATGGAACTATCAAATATAAAATATATATGGATTTCGGTTTATAGAAGTTTGGGGAATTCTACAGTAGACTTAATATTCTTTGTATTTACATGCAATCAATACTACTATGGATATTAAAACTGTAATTTAGGATTATTCTATTCCATTTGAAGATGTGAATAACAGACCAGGTTATTTCTTATTAAAACAAATTTATTCAAGACACTTCAAAATTTAGTTTACAATTTCGTGTTCACATGAAATTAATAATGAGGTAACATTTCTCGTACGTGAAATATTTGAGGTTTTTAGGGATTTTTTACAAAAACGTAAATAATTGTTTACACATTTCTTCAATTGTATTATGCTGTATATAATACAAATATTACATTTAATAAATCAACCTGAGTTTTATAACAATATCACAAATAATTATGAGTTTATTTAACAAAATATAAGATCTAATTTTAATGAAATGGACAATCTTCAAATGGGCACGGTTTATGTAGGAGGTGTCTTATAAATCACCAGCACAAAACACGCAATAGGCGTTTCTCGTTCGAAACGTTCTCACAACGTTCTCGGTACGAAACAGTCATGAAATTGCCTCCGTTTTCGGACGTAGCGTTTCGAGTCCGACAGAAATCGCTTTCTCTAACCTCGATGACGTACTCTACCGACAAACGGACGTTTAGTATTGTCGCCAATAGAGTTAATTCCGTATGAGCAGTCCGTCGTGAACCATGAGACGAAGGTACGTCACAAAAGGATAAACGAACAGTAGGTCTTGTGAAGTTGAAGGCACTACATCGACGTCATGAATCTACGACTTTGACGCGATTTTAGCGGAAACAAGATGGAGCAGGGGCAGGTTCGGCTAAATGCACCCTGGCACCCTACCTAACGCAAAAAGTTATTATTCTCGTATCTTAATTTATATCTGAATATTTTTACCGTGTTTTAGAAATAAATACAAGTGAATTCGACAGAATCGCATAACGGTTAAAATATCATACAAAATCAAACTCTTAATAGTATTTAAATATTAATTAAGAAACTAGTTTGCATTCTATTTCTATCTGTTAGATTGTTTAGTATTTCATATATGTTTAATATTTATACTTGCGAATTCATTACCGATTGTTTCTTACAATAAATGAATTCTTTAAATAAGTTTATTCGAATACGACGAAAATATCTTCAAATGCATGTATTAATCATTTTTTTTTCACATTCTGTTTCTGTCGTAGAAAAAAATAGTAGTACAGCGTGAAAACATCATTGATCTAGATGACTTATTCCACAATAATTCCGATCTATGGTATTTGCAGACAAAGCGATCGGTCAGGTATGTGCATCTTTCATTGGCTCGTACGCGCCATCGAGCCGGCGCGTTTGTTTGATCGTTACTTCCTTGATTAGAGAGCACGTCACACAGTTAAATACTTTTATTTTCGTAATAATCCGATTTTCCGTCTTTATTCTTGGTAGAAAGTACCGATGCCCCGGGTAATTGGCTGCCCCTAAACCGGCCCTGGAGAGAGCAGGATGGAAAGAGAGAGCGTACAACAAAGATGGCGGTTGAGAGGCGACGGCGGTGGTGGTACGAGGTAGGAGGAAGAGGACGAAGAAGCGACAGAGTAGAAAGAGAAGAGGCGAAGAGAGGACGGGACGACGGGGTGCTGGGCGATTCGTTAAGAGGGGCCGAGGGGGGAAGGAGCGACGATCGGAGCGATGGGAAGAGTAGGGAGGAGAGGTAGCCGCGAGAGAGATAGAACCGGCTCGAAAGGGACGAGCGCGGCTCGGGGGGGGGTTCGGGTTAGCTCGTTCGACCCGTTATCCCTTCTCTCCCGGAGTCCCGAGTTCTCCCTACCTGTCCTTGCTTCGATTCGAACGAGTCCTCCCCACTCTCTCCCCTCCGGGGACGCACGAAAAGTTTCCCCCACCCAGGGGCGCACTTCACCGGCTGGCGGGCGACGATCGCGATTGCAAGCCGCCGCCGCTTTTCGAGGTAGACTCGTTTCGTTCCCCTACGCGGTGTTCCCCACTACCGGACCAAACAGAGATACTAGCCAGCGAGCCATACTACGCTCCCGCCACGGTGACGTCACTCCGAGTAGTGTAGTGCAGTGAGGAGGAGCGAAGTCAGCTCCATCCGCGTTACATGGCCCGAGTGAACGAAGTGAGTGCGTTTAAGGCGTACATATACAAACGTGCATCGTAGCGATCGAGTTTGCCAATACGATTTAATTTCTTCGATTAATGCACGTTACGTGACACAAGTTAATTCGATCGCGAGAAAGGTAGAGAAGCCGCGACTCGCTTTCACAAAATATATATATATATATATATATGTACACATGTATGTATATTCGACGTATAATTCCATTAACGAGGTATGAGCGGTGAAAATTCAGTGATGTGATAGGAAGCAACTACGCTAAGTGAATAAGGAAAGGAGGAAAAAAGGAGAAAGAAAGAAAAAGTAGTGTCGTGCGCGGAAAGGTTACGCGTTGAAATTTTAACAGGAAGAAAAGGCAACGGTTCTATCGTCGGTAGATCGATTGTTTTTAGTGGGGTTACCGCGAGAGTTTCAGCGTACGTAGCCTCTTTGTTGGTGTACGACGAGAACGAGGCATAAAATTACGTAGATCGACGCGAGTGTGATTCTGCTCAACAAATATGCGTGGGATGTATCGCCCGCGCGTTGTGCTCGGTGTGCTTGGTGTGACGTGTGATTAATCGCCTTTCTTCATACGCGATTCAGTGGTATACGATGTGGTGTTCGGCAACGGTCCTGATCTTTGTAGCCGTTGTCACCAGTGGTGTCCACTATCGAGGCTCCGTTTCCTCCTCTTCGTCGTCGTCGTCGTCGGCGTGCGTCGCGACGCAAAAATTTTATCGCGAGAGCTCCGTAGCCACCCTCTTCTATCGGCCGATCGTTCCACGGCGCTGCCCTGACGACAGCACTCGTCCTGCCTGGGGTCACTACCTTCCGGCTAGTGACTAGTGATAATCTGTTTGTTGCCAGTGATTAAATTGAGAGTGCCGAAGTGGGAGGAAGCTCCTTCCTTCGTCGTGGAATACACGTAACGGTTCCTTCGTCTTGTCGCGTGTGCGTCGCGAGCTACACGAGTTTCTCGTAAATCGAATTGGAAATCAATTGTATCGTTCGGAGTACCACACGGATCATTGATTTCTCGCGAATACGAGGAAAATTTAGAGTAAATAGGGAGTAAGGAGAGAAAAAGAGGGTTTTTTTCTCAGCCGACCCGCTGGCGGTATTGAATATCGGTGGTGTGGTGAGAGTGCCGTGATTAGCGTCGGGCGAAGTTGTGTGTCGTTGTACAGTGCCGCCAAACGATACCACAACATCCGATCCCAAATGAAGAGTTCGGAGCAAAATGGTTAGAGAGACACGTCACCTGTGGGTTGGAAATCTGCCGGAAAACATCCGAGAGGATCGCATACGAGAGCATTTCAAACGGTGAGTTTCTTTTCTGGTTTATTTCACATGCCTTTAACAAAAGGCGTCTTACGTAACTGTAAATGCGTGTGCATACTTATGTATGTATAATCAGGAACACGCATGGACACACGCATATACACGAAGAATACAACAAATTTTTTGCAAACGTTCCCCATTGGTATTAATAATGCACCAAAGTGCACGCTTAGTTTTCCATTTACGATACACCTCGTAGACGTGCCAGTGTCCAATGTAGACGCAAGTCTTGGGACGCCGAAAGAGATTTACGGGCCTTTCGATTTGCTGAAATATTCCTAATTTACCGTGAGTCGTAGTTTCACGGTAAACTTTTCGAAAAGGAAATACGGGTCCTGGTGCATACATTTAGGAGCAGAGGTAGGAATACTTTCATTGTTGTGTCGCAGTCTGGACACGGTCGGCAATAATTTCGTCTAGAATTTTATGACTCTATGGGTCATGCCTGCGTAGCGTCTGCCGGGCTTTATACCAACCATGCTATATAGTCGATTCGAAGTACAAAGTATCCTGTACAATGTTTCCTGACCTGTAAATAAACAGCGAGAAAAATCGCGCGAATTGTTCGTTATTTACAGGTTTGTTTATGTTTCGGCGTAGCGAAGAAACATTATCAGTTTGATAGAACCGGAATTTAGGAACACGTAAGGTGCACTCGATGTTTTTGACTCCGTACGTAGATCGAAGATTCTGAACGCGTCTATACACACCCACACTGCATACGTGTACGTACACGCACGTGCGCGCGCGCGCGTACAAACGTGTGATATACAGAGAGCCTTGGCTGTCTCTCCTCTCCTCGTAGCGTGAGCGCGCCGTCATTTGTTTTTTCCCCGAAGTAATAATAGCTGAGGACAGCCATTTTGAGAGCTCGCAGCGGCACGAAGTTATTGTTCGACAGTGGCGCTCAAATCGTGGATCCGTATAGTGCACGCATTTAGTTTAGAAAAGAAAGCATCAAATATGATGAAAACGAATATTTACATTGAGAGAATTTATTTTATAGTAATTGCTTCATTATTATAGTAATTATACGATCATCCCTAAACGTATTTTATTTAAAGCTTATACTCTCTGTAAACATTTATGAAAAAAGGTATATTACTAAGTTTTAAAAAGTTGAATCGAATATATAGCATTTTATTAGTATTTAAATACTTTACTATTTTGTATATAATAATTGTAACTTGTTTATTGAATGTTACAGGAGAAAATTCTATATTTTCCTATTTTTTATATATGTCTTAAATCAGTGTTTAATTACATAGATTTGAAAATACTTTTTCTAACACGATTGTAATTTTAAAGAAAATCGTAAAATAATTACCAAAAACGTATGTATTACGTTTTGTTTAACGCCTTCGTTTGAATAGTCTTTTAATTTATATAATTTTTGATCGAATTGTATATAAGCAAGCTTAAACATGCAAGTAATACTACACGTATAAGTCACAGTAGCTATAGTTTTGTAAAAACATAGCTGCATTGTGGTTTATGTAAAGAATATTTATTTTTTTAATACTCTGTCGCATTTGCATGCACAAAGTAGAACTGTATAGTATATAAAATACGAATATATCTACAATGCACGTAAATTGTTAAAGAGCAGAGATCGAAGTAGGAAAACAAGTGAAAACTAACGGTGACGTGGCGCAGTGGCGCTCAGTTTGCGGATACTTACATGAAAGAACGAGAGAAGTATTATCTGTAATATTGTAATGCAAATAATGCTTTGAGATTAAAAACTTTACATTTATATTAACTATAAAAGGTATGACAAGAATTATTTAGAAATTTATGAAAATGTACATTGCAATTAACTTTGTATACCAGTTTTACCGTACTAAGCAATGTGATACTGCTTACAAATATAATTTATACCATTTAATTCAAATATCTTTCTTACTATTCATAAATATAGTTACAAAATTTTTAAAAATTGTCTTTAATCGTGATTACAATTCTTTCTAAAATTAGAGAATTTTTAACTATTTTAGAACACATAATCCCCATAAGATACGGAAAGATATCAAGACTATTTCTATAAATTGATAATTCTACTTAAATTAAAGAAATATTTCATACGAAACAAGTTTCCGAATACAAAATGCATACACGATTAAAATACGTAGTATAGAGGGGTTAGACGTCGGATGTTTTTAGGAAAGGTTTTAGTTTTCATTGTGCTATTAATTTTTCTTCTTGAAACATGCGTTGGTGAATATTCCCATTGTCAGCGGCGCTACATTTTACGTGCCAGCTGGCGATACTTCGTTTGTATGTATACTGGCTTCGTTCTTACGGTCGTCTACCGTGCATTATAGCCTTAAAGGTTCGTCCTTAAAATGGCGGGTGGCGTCGTTACGCCGTTGACCTCTCGTTTCTCCAAACGAGCGTTACGCATAGTGCAATATTTCTTGGAATGCATTTTTAAAGTTATTAATTTGTTTTTAATTACGACATCCATAAATCAATACTCTTAATCTATCGTATAATTTCAACGAACGTAACATATAATTATATAATTTTTATATCGAGAGTATGGAAATTTTAAGACACGTGTCTCAATCGTTTGATCATTTCGTAGTTCTGTTCACGTTGAGTTTTTTTACTTCGTACCTTATATTTTTCTTCTGATTCCTCGAGTTATAAAAGTAATAAAATTCAAACGTTTTATTTATTTTTTCTATTTTTACCAAAAAATATTGGAAATAAAACTGCTACACGGAAATAACTTGAAAATTTCGTTATGTGAAATAACTATAATCTATCATTCCATTAAATTAAGTAAACTGAACGTTTTACTACACATTTATTCATTTTTTTGTTTATTCAGTCATATTTTCACGGAAATATGATACAATTTCAAAAAAATTGTTGAAATAAGAATTCTACCAAAACTAGTAAGTGCTGACGGTTTTTTCTCGTTCGTGCACGTTCCAAGTCCGAACTTGGAACTCGATTCGATGCGTTTTGAAACGCACGGTCGCTACATTCTTACGCGTACAGTATGTGCAATAGTATTCGTGCACCGCGTTACACTCCCTTACTTGAAAACGTACATTTCTCCTACAGGTACACGCATAGCACATAATGTACCTCCGAATTTCTCTGCGCACACTGTATACGAGATATAACCGTATCCATCGAGTGTGCCTACATGCATATATATTCCTGTGCACAAGTAATATGCACACGTACCGCGTTTGCAATTTATGTTCACACGGAGATAAGAGTATACGCCGCTTTCATACACGCATACGCGACCCGTGTCGTGCACGTTTAGATTATATTTACAATTTACGCGTATGTGTAGGTCGATGTATTGACAGAATGCTTGAGAATGTACGTGTGAGCGCGCACGCGTACATATATGTGTGAGAGCGGGTTGCCGGCGTATTTTGTTATATTGATCGCGCGTGGTCGACCACCTCCCCTTCTCCAGCCTCACTCTGCCCCATCTCTCCCCACCCCACACCCTACCGCGCCCCTGCACCCTATGTTCACCCCACCCTTCCCTCTGCGCCTCGTCCTCGTCTTCCACTCGACGTCACCCATCCGAAAACCTTCGACTCTTCGACAACCTCCAGTCACACGTATTTTCGTGTGTTAGTGCCCCTACGATGATATACGAGCTGTCACAAATATGTATCCAAGTTACATGCTTTCTATGTGCACGGAGACTCGATGCCTTGTGTGGTTTTTTTTTTTTTCTTTCTTATAGCGGCAATCGAATTCCACGTTTCTTCGTCGAAATGTGTTTCAAATGAATCGTGCATTTTATGTGGCGTTCGAGAAGAGAATTATTCTGCGCGGAATTTGGGCTGGGACCGTTCGAATAACTTACTGTTCGCGTATTTGACAAATAAAAAGCCTCGGACGTGATTTCGTCATACCAAAGATTTTATTCCCTTGCAATTTGTATGCTTGACGACTTGCTTTGAATTTCGTTCAATCGCATTTTGTTTTGTGGGACTGCATAATCGTTGCAATGTGAATGGAATAGATTTTACTATATGGTTTTTTCCTTTTAAAATACCTGTGACGTTTTAAGAGTTATTCATAGAAAAATAGCAATAAGGGCTTCTCGAGCAATATCAGCTTTAATAGAAACGGATGCAGGGGGTCGAAAATTGTGCAGTTATTCGGAAAGTAGCTCCCTTGGCGCGTTACGTCATCGTGGCTAATTACATTGCGAATCCTATAGACTAGGAAAACTAGAAACGTTAAGAAAATGTTCTTTTCATCTTCACCGCGCAGTGTATTATCCCTGTTGTATTATTGTATCTCTACCGCATTTCTTTTGTATCGCTTGAACTTTGCACGCAACCAAGAATGCGTCTAGTATCGAATGAAAATGTAATCGCCTCGAACGTTCTCATTTCGCGCACAATATATATTCTCATTTATTTATTCGCTATAAGGAGAGAACATGACACATTGTAGTAGAGAAAGCAAGGTGAAATTGCAAGATATAGCTGTTTTGCAATTTAACCCTAATATTGAAAATAGAAAGTATTTCTTTTACTACATATATTTAATATAGTTTTAGATAACCTAACAATTATTATTCTATTCACATTGTGTTTTGTTTCCATTTACCTTCCTAATGTATAATTTCAGTATTTTGTTTTTAAGATGCTATTACATAATTTCTAAACATAACCCTAAATTCAAGGGTTGGTTTATAATAAAGTGCTTAGTTAAGACTGGACTAACCACTGAAACGTTTAAATATTCGAATGACTCAAAAATTTGACAAACAGGACTCACCAAAAACGGGGTAAATTGAGACATTTTAGTAGAGGAATAAAGTGAGATATTTTATTATATAATTGAAATTCTAAGTTTCATTCAACGAGACATGTATAGAAAGTTATTAATTTTTTATTCGCTATCCAAAATTGGTATCTAGTTAATTTTAGTTTTTGATCCAGTTAAAATATTATATCCATTCGTGGTATCATTCCTCAACAGTAATT